GCCAGTGGGGAAAACCCCATTCAGCTCCTGCAGAAATCCAGTTAGCAGGAAAAAATCCTTCCAGCTTCTTAGGTCTGCTGAGGAGAGGATGAGCCCGAGGCCCCAGATGCCTCTTTGCTGAAGAGTTTGTAGGGGGACAAAAAAAAAAAAACCAAAACCAAAATCCAACAGCCCTTAATGGCATTTATGGCCTAAATATGGGTAAATACGAGCTCATCCCTATAAACCCAGTTCTGCAAGGGTTTGCAGGGGCTGAAGCTGCTGGGTGCAGGCATGGAGCTCATGGAGGGTTGGAGGCATTAGGGAGAGGAAGAAAACCTCAATGGAGGGACTTTGGGGTGCCCTTTGGTGGGGTGATGCAGCCCTTCTCATGCTCTCCCCAGGTTCGAGCTGAGCCCCAGGATGCGGGAGGCCTGCCTCATTGTCAAGACCCACCTGGGCCACCCTGGGGCAACCAAGAGCAAAGAGGTGGTGAGTGAGGTGCTATGGGGTGGGATGGCTGCTGGTGTCCCCCAGAGATGGGCCAGCAAAGCCCAGCCCCAAAACACTGCCCTTTGCTCCACGCTTTGTCCCAGACACCCCAAACCCCAGCTCAGCTCAGGCCATCTCAGCCTGAGTTTGGGGTTTCGCGGTCCTGCCTTCACCCCGTTCCCCTCTGGAGCTGGGTTTCTGCTTCCCACCGGGGCTGGGGGGTGCAGGGCCCCAGCTCAGCCCCTCTTGCTGCCCACAGCTTGCCAGCAGCAGCCTGGTCCTGCAGGAGTGGTTCCGTCTGTCCAGCCAGAAGTCCTCTGTGCCTGACACAGTGGCCAACCACCTCCTGGCCTTTGCCGAGGTGTCTCCAGCTCTCCTGGCCCACGTGGTGAACCTGGCGGATGGGAACGGCAACACAGCCCTGCACTACAGCGTCTCCCACTCCAACTTCCACATTGTGCGGCTGCTGCTGGACACAGGTCAGTGCTCCCCCGCCGACAAACGTCCCTCTGCCACCACCCTGCTCACATCCTGGCCACGCCAGGCACGGGAGACATGCCAGCAGCAGGGAGAGCTGCCCTGTGCTGTGTCCATGCACATGGGGGAAGGTGGAAGTCACCTCAGCCCTTGCGGAGCCCAGGTTTGATAGGGGGGAACTCATCAGCAGGCCATGGGACAGCTCACAGCACCCTGAGCTCTGCCCATGCCCACAGGGGTCTGTAACGTGGACCACCAGAACAAAGCTGGCTACACAGCCCTCATGCTGGCAGCGCTGGCGGCTGTCGAGCAGGAGGACGACATGAACATGGTCAGGAGGCTCTTCAGCATGGGCAACGTCAACGCCAAGGCCAGCCAGGTTGGTGCATCACATCCTGACCCTCACTGCGTCACCAAGGGCCACAGCTGGCTCTTCCAAGGACAGCTTCAAAACCTGAAGGAGCTGCAGTAGGAGCTGCTCTGTGTGGTCCTTGCCTGGGGCAGTGGGATGAGCGGGTGACCCAACCAGGACAGGTCCCCCTGGCATTGTCCCCTGCCTTGCAGGCCGGGCAGACAGCGCTGATGCTGGCTGTGAGCCACGGCCGGCAGGAGATGGTGGAGGCTCTACTCGCCTGTGGAGCTGATGTGAACCTGCAGGACGAGGAGGGCTCCACTGCACTGATGTGTGCCTGTGAACACGGGCGTGTGGAGACCGTGAAGCTGCTGCTGGCTCAGCCCACCTGCGACATCTCAATCGTGGACAGTGTAAGCCTCTGCGGCCCGGGCACATTCACCCACCTGCATCCTGCCCCCCAAACCTCTTCCAAGGGCTCTCCTTTCTGTTTTCAGGATGGGAACAACGCTGTTGCCATCGCGCTGGAGGCTGGTCACAGCAACATCGCTGTGCTCCTGTATGCCCATCTCAACGTGAGTACCAGAGGTGGCACCAGCTCAGCTGCAGGCAGTAGGGCTGTGACAGGGGCAAGAGCACGGCAACCCGAGTGCCACACACTCACTGCATCTTCAGCAGCAGGACACCAGCCTGGCTGGCCCTGACTGGGAGTTGCTGGGGTGACACTGTGTGACTCTGGAGTGACATTGCCTCTGCTCTCTTTACAGCAGGGGACATCCCCAACAGCCACCAAGAGCCCTGGGGGCACAAAGAAACCGAATTAGAGTGACCTCAGGAGCCAGCCCTCAGCACCAGGCTATGGTTTATGTCCCCCTTGCCTGCTGAATCACGCCCTGCAGATGCTTTAACCCTCCTGTCACAGAGTATGCACTGTCCCATGCACAGCCACCTTGCTCCACCAAGTGACAGAGGAGGGTAGCATCAAGCAACCAGGGTGGGAAACTGAGCAAAAGCTGGCCCCATCCCATCCCCTCCCCATCAGCCCTGCGCTGCCTCGGAGTCCTTTGCAAGTCCTTCACTCACTGGAACAGCAGCAAACAAGCCCAGCAGAAGTGGCACATGGTTCCTGTTCTCTCCTGGCAGCTCTGGGGAGGAGTACTGCTGGTGACAAGGAGCAGGGCTGCTGGGCGCTGCTGTGCTGCACACTGCCAGCGGGAAGAAGCTCAGCAGCCACAAGACACAAGCCCAATGGTCAGTGCTGCCTTGGACATGGCCTGGGAGCAATTCCAGACTGAAATACTGCTCTTTCTCTTCTGGCCTTTCCTTTCCGGGCTGAAATCTGATTATTTTTTCCCCTAGCACATGCACACAAAGCAAAAAGTATTATATTGCTTAATCAAAGGATGGAGTTGAACAAGAAAGCACTTAGTGATTTGATGTGCAGAAGCACTGAGCACCTAGGGTTGCCACCGAGCTGACAGGAGGGGCCTGAGTCATAAATGCATTTAGGGACATTTAAGATACCCCACACAGGGAACAGGCACCTCCTCCCAGGACAGAGATAGTCAGAAGCCACTTACTGTGAAGGCAGGCAGAGCCCCAACCAAGCCTCTCTGCCCACTTCCCTTCCCAAAGGGGACAAGAGCAGCTCATGTTGTTCCAGGAAAAAAAAAAACGATGGGCAAGAAGAGTTGAGAGGAAGCTGTAGAGATGGACACGAATGTCAGAGGATGTGTGCACGAGTGTCTGTGCCAGGCAGGGTGGGAACAGACAAGGAAAGCACTAAGGACTGGGAGTGAAGAGGAAAAGGGTTCTGCATGTGAAGCTGGCTCTGCTCTGAATCCTTCACATGGTGCCATGTCACAGCTCCGATTTCTGCTCCTTGGCTCCCCAGCATCACTCTCGCTCCCCCAGGCCTGGTCTGAGCTGTGCTCTGAGCTGGGAAATGCTCCCAGGAAAACTGGTTCCAGTTGACACGCCGCTGTGCTGGCAATGGGCCTGGCTCAGTTTTGCACTGAAGTTAACACACAGCGCTCACAGCCTCCCTCTGCACTACTCTGGATGTATTCTGTACTCACTGCTTTGGTCTCACAGGTTTGGTTACTGATACTTTCATACTGATGTCTATTTTTAAGATACAAATAAAAGTTTTAAGTAAAATTATTTTGGAATCTTGCAGTGACCCAGCAGCAGTCTTTGCCTCAAGACAAAACCCTTCAGCAGAGGGACAGCCTGGCACAGCCCTCCCATTCCCATTCCTTCCCTGCAAGTTTATGGACTGCTTACATGCATCAGTCAGTTTATTTCCACCCAAAATATCCTTTTGGGTCATGGCACCTTCTGTCCTGTTTCACTCCTCAGGACCAAGCAGGATGCTAGAACCAGATGTAGCCCTTTACTACCCTTGGTTCCCCCTGGTGCTTTGACATTAAGCTGCATTATCATCATCAGTTTGAGTGGGGGTGCAAAGTCACCTCCCTCCTCACGTGGCCAAGGACCACGCTGACCCCACAGGGATATTTGGGAAGGGCTTCAACTGCTCTCAGCCACCCCCATCACAAGTTGACATCTGTCTGGCAACCAACTTGCAGCTGAAGCCTCCTGCTTGGTCACTCAGCACAGTCAGCACCAGATCATTGCTAAAGCTGTGCAGGGAACAAACAGCAGCAAAAGTAAACTCAGCTATCACATGAACCAAGGGAACACGGACTCAGCTGATGCCCTGAAACTGAACCACTACCAAAGAGTCAAGAACTAGATCAAGCAACAACACAAGCACGTATCAACAGGGGCTTTCCCCAGAGCACAAAATCCTCCTTAGGCTGCCCATGAGCTGACCAGGGCACAACCAACACCAGCAGGAGGAAAACAAAACCAATCAACCACTCTTTTACCAGCCCCAACAGCAACCTTCGCTGTCTGCCAAGTGCAGCAATTCAAACACCTATTCCAGGAGTACTCTCCTCAGCTCCAGGTACTCAAACCTTCAATCCCCCTTACTCTTGAGGTGCCTTAATCTAAGTTCAGGACATTGAAGGATGAACACTCCCAGCAGAGACCACACGATCAGGAGCTGCAGACTTGACTGGGTTCAAGCACATCACAAACCAGTATCACTCTACTATCAGATGGAAAGCATCAGCACTTAAAAAACAGCCCTCAGACCTTAACAGTTTTCAGGCTTATTCCTCATCCTTTGAGCCTTATTTTTACTTCATTTAATAGATATCAATAAATCTTTCTAGCTGACTTCTTGCTGGAAGGGAAAACAGGACAAACATTGAGACTGACTTGCCAACTCCTCTAAGAGGAGACAAGCTCTCTCTCTGTGAGTGCCAGGAAAGACAGCAAATAGGTATATTTATAGAACTGCTTACTGAGGACGGACAAAAGCAGCCAGCTGTTCTCTGCAAGCTGACTTTGCACTTGTATTTGATTTCCACAGAAGGCCAATAAGTTCAGCAGTGCCACTTTACTGGCTAAATGCAGAATTCTTACCAGAAAAATGGGGACTGAGGTTGCTGCAACCAAAACAGTTATTTTTGTTGTGACAGGTTAATAGCAGTGCAAAACCAGAGTAATAGGACAATAAAGGCAGCATGGGTAACCCCAGGAATAAGCAGGCTGTGCTTTTGTTCCACTGCTGGACCCAGCAACAAGAAATGCATGCATAAATACCGAGGCCAATGGAGCACTCACACACTGAGTAAGCGAGACCTTTATTGAAGCAACAGAACTGCCACACTCCTCTCCATCCCTGACCTGCATCTGGCCAAGCAGATGGCAACTGGCCACCCCAAGCACATGCTATCAGCCTTCATCACCTGGAACAGAACAATGGAGGCCACATTGGTTCAGAGAGCAGTGGGAGGCCACTGATTCAAAATGGGCAGCACCAGGCTCACTGGTAGCCCCATACTCACCAGCTCAGCGCAGCCGCCGGGCCTCACGCTCTGACTCCAGCAGCGTAAGGACATCACCCTCCCGCACCGGCCCCTTGACGTTGCGGATGATGGAGCGGCTCGTGTCATCCATGAACTCCACGCGCACCTGTGGGAACAGAAGGGGTCAGCCCAGTGTGCGATGGCCCCACTCCCACCCAGCCCCAACCTGTCCTGGCCCCCTCACCTGTGTGCACTGCCCCTGGGAACCGGTCCGGCCCAGCACCTTGGTCACCTAGGGGCAGAGAGCGGAGAATCAGCACAGTGCCGCAGCCCACCGCGGCCTTGGTCCCACTCACACCCCCAGGCCAGGCGCTGGCCCCACTCTCACAGCCCCCAGACCCGCTCGCCCCTTCCAGGCCCACTCTCTCCTCCGGGCCCATTCACGCCAGGCCCCGCTCAGCTCCACTTTCCCCCCGTCCTCGCTCGCACCGAGGCCCGCCCTCACACCCGGCCAACCCGCTCCGCTCGCCCCCAGCTCCGCTCCGCTCGCCCCCAGCCCCGTTCCGCTCCGCTCCGCTCGGCGCCGGCCCACCCTGGCCAACTTGATGGGCTGCACCCGACTCGTGTCCATGGCGGCTCCGCGGAGAGCAGGAAGAGGGGGAGCTCCCGCTCACGGCCTTTATGTGCGGCGCCAAGCCTCGCGAGACCCAGCGTGCCCCGCGCGCGCTCCCGGCATCTCCCGTGCCTGCCCCCCCCGTCCTTCACCGCGGCCACGATGGCGACGGCCACCAGCACCGTCCAGCGCCTGCGGAACTTCCTGGCGGGGGTAAGCGCGGCCCCGGCCGCGGGGGCTCGGCGGGTCCCGGTCCCGGCCCCGGCCCCTGCGCTCCCGGCCCCGCCGAGGCCCCGGCACAGGGCAGCGGCCCGCGGCACGGCGTGAGACGCTGTCGCCTCTGCCTTGCAGCGGAACATCCAGGCCAAGCTGCCGCTGCGCTACACGGAGATCGCCAAGAGGTGCCGCCGGGGCGGGCCGGGCCGCGGGGGTGCGCGCTGCGGCTCCCCGCCTGCCTGACGCTCCGCGCCCGTTCTTTGCCTTAGAACCCAGCCGCCGCCTCGGCTGCCGGTGGGGCCCAGCCACAAGCTCGCCAATAACTACTACTGCCTGCGGGACGGGCGGCGGGAGGCCTTCCCACCCATCGTGGTGGTGGCTGCCCAGAAAAGCCTCGCCGCGGGGGCGCAGGCTGGCGGGTAGGTTGGACACGGTGCCGCAGCGCTGGGGCCTGAGCGAGGTTGAGTCTGCGTTACTGGCACCAGAAGCGCAAAGCTCTTCCAGTGCCAGGACTCCCAGCCTGGCAGGAGAACGCCTATGTCTTTATCTCGTGAATAAGCGAGGGCTGGGAGTTGATGTAATGATCCTCTTTAGCAATAACGAAACCAGTTCTGATCGAATCCAAGTCTGACCTTCACACCCTCGTCTTTAGTTCAGGCTCTGCAGTGGCAACAGCTGAGAAAAAACCAGTGACGCCAGGAGCACCCCTGAAGAAGTGGGAAATCTCAAAAGACCAGCCCTATTTGTGAGTGATAAATGCGGTGAGATTGGATATACAGATCCCCGGTCGTTCCAGAGCAGCTTCCTGACGGGAGTTGTGCTGGGTTTTGCTTCAGTAACACTGCACAAGACTTGTCCCAGCGCTGCTGCTCCATGAATAATAAACGTATTTAAAGTTGTGATCACCCTCCACACCTCTTGTTGGCTGTTCTGTTTGAATTACCTGAATTACTACTCTTTAAATACTGTTTGGGGTGTAGGGCTTTCTTGGGGACACAGGAGCACAAAGCTGACTGTGGGTTAGAGCTACAGCTGAGACACAGCACAGGATAAAATGTGCCCTGGGTGAGGAGGAGTGGCTTTAACCTGCTAGACGGAGACTGAGATGAGCTCTGAGGCAGAAGCTCTTCTCTGTGAGGGTGCTGAGGCGCTGGCACAGGGTGCCCAGAGAAGCTGTGGCTGCCCCATCCCTGGCAGTGCTCAAGGCCAGGTTGGACACAGGGGCTTGGAGCAAGCTGCTCCAGTGGAAGGGGTCCCTGCCTGTGGAGCTGGAGGAGCTTTAAGGTCCCTTCAACCCAAACCATTCCACGGTGGTTGGATTTGTTGTAAGAGGCATGAGTTAGGTGCCTGCACTGCACTTACCCAAGCGCCCAGTGTCCCGGGCACGGAGCCACCCTCCCTGCAGGCGCTGGGCACTGAGCTCCAGCCCCTCCAAGGACAAGCGGTGCTGCGGGCGCTGTTCTCCATTGCGCCGCGGCGGGCGGGGGCGCTGCCCCTCCGGTATCCCGAGGGAAGCGGTCCGGGGCCTGCTCCCGCCGGGGGGCGGCCGGGGCCTCACGGCAGGTTCGCCCCTCGCCCCGCCCCGCCGGCCCCCCGTTGGTGGAGGTCATTCCAGTGCGCATGCTCAGTGCAGCGCACGGACAGCCTCATAGCGGTGCGGAGGCAGCGGTGGGCCCGCGTCATGGCGCGGATCCCGGTGCTGCCGCTCCTGTCCCTGGTGCTGCCACTCCTGCCCCCGGTGTGGCCGCTGCTGCCGCCGGTGCTCCCGGTGCTGCCGCTCCTGCCCCCGGTGTGGCCGCTGCTGCCGCCGGTGCCGCCGCACAACGGTGAGGGGACGAGGGAGGGCGGCGGGGCGCGGGCGCGCTGTCTCTCTCGCGTGCCCTCATTGGCTGCCGGCGCACGCCCTTCATGCTCATTGGCTGTCGCGTTCGGACGCCCTCGCGCGCGGGCTCCCGTAGCGCGGTGCGCCGCAGGGTCCCTCAGTCCGCCCGTTCCCCCCCACCCGCAGTGACCCTGCCCCGCTGCCCCTCGGGGCGGTTCCGGTGCGCGCCCCACGCCCCCTGCGTGACCGTCGAGTGGCGATGCGATGGGCACCCCGACTGCGATGATGGAGAGGACGAGCTGGGCTGCGGGACGGTGCCCCCGGCGGAGCCGAGCCCTGGCGGCGCAGGTACGGGGGGCGGCCGGAGGGGTTGGGGGGAGCGGGGAACCGCGCCGAAGCCTTCCCTTCCCGTGGCAGCCGCGCCCGTCACGGCTTGACCTGACCGGAGGAAGCCCCGGGGACCGGCGCAGCCCCACCTTGAGCTTCCTCCCGTGGAAGCTTCGTTTAAACCCCGCCAGGGTGTCCTCAGGAAGCGCCCTTGAGGAACCTTCCCGCAGAGCAGAGCCCGGCGGCTTCCTTCCACCGGCGACACTGCCCGTCCTTCGGCGCTCCGCTGGGGATGGGGATGGGGAAGATACGAGGAGAAGGATGGGGGAAGCGCCCGAGGGCTGTGCAGGCAGGGTCAGAGCAGCAGGAGCTGGTCTCTGTCAAGCCAAAGGGTGTGTTGCATCCCCAGCGCTGTCTGCTCTGGAGCATCCTTGGTCACAGCACTGTTGTGTGTCTGAGGTGCTTGAAAGGCTCCAGCTTCCCTTTTCACAGGGGTTTCTGTGTCAGCTGGGAGCTGAAGCTGGGTGTGGAGAGGAGGGGGGATTATTGCAGGCATGAGAGACTGGATTTGTGCTCAATACCTGCATCAATTGGTAGGGGGGGAGATGAGCTATGTTTTAGTTGTGCCTGGGGCTGCCTGGGGCCACGAGGAGAGGTTAAGGATGCTGCAGCTACAGCTGGGAAACTTCCCAGCTTTCCCTGTTCTGCATTTCCAGTAGGACGTTTTTTCTCCTCTGATGTGGCTTAATTACGGTACGGGCAGATAAGGTTTTACTTACATTGAAAAAGGCCCATTGGAACTTTTGAGGTGAACTGGGAACTCGGCCAGGTTTGGACTGCGGGCAGCTTTGCATGATGCCTGTGAAGTGAGTTGGAAGCCTTCTTGCTCTTTCCTTACAGAGGCTTCGGCTACGCCTGTGCCTGAGGGCTCAGCACCATCCAGCAGCCCAGACCGCCTGTGGATCTTGGTTATTGCAGGTATGTGAGTGCTGCACATGTCCTGGCTGGGGCTATCATTTAAGCATCCCGATGCAAGTAATTCCAGACCTGTATCAGGACTCAGAGGGTTGGGGGAGGCTTTAGACCCTTTCCTCTGACTTGAGTGTTCTGTGTTCTTGGAAAAGCAGTTCCATGTCATCTGGCACTAACTCATTTCTCTCTGTGCCTTATCCTTGAGGGAAGGTGCAGCTCTGAGCCTGATGGCTAACACTGCTGAGCAGCAGAACCCAGAACTGATGTCCAGACCAGGCACAGTGAGTGGTCCTCTGCTTGTGCGCTCTCCTCTCTAGCGCTCCTGAGCGTCCTGGTAGCTGTTGGTTCTGTTGCTGTGTGGGGCATATCCAAAGCAAAAAGCAGATCTGATATCTTCAGTCCTGAAAAAGCATCCAGAGAACGGCTAATGCCTGACAAGAGCCAGAGGGGCTCATTTCCCTAAAGGGTAAGTTTCTTGCACCCCACATCCTCTGGGTGTGAAGGGGAGAAATGCTTTCCTGCCCTCTGTTTCCAGCCTCCAGAGCTTTCCTCTCTGGGGGCAGCTTTTCCTGCTGCTGGTCAGCCACGTGCTTGGGGTTTCAGCCTTTCTTCTTTGACTGCATGGGCAGTTACACTGCCTAACCTGAGAAAGTGCTGCTGTCTTTTGATAGTGATGTGCTGGTATGTCCTTCCTCTGCTGCCCAGGACAGGGAGCAGTCGTGCTTAGACACTCATCTCCTGTGGGTTGTTTTCCTCTGCTTTGCCCACACAAGTCAAACCAGGTGGTTTTTTTTGCCCAGAGACTGTCAATAACCAGGTGTTTTTCTGTTCTTGTACCAGGGATCTGTACCACGAGGTGATGAGGTGGGGCCAGCCTAGTCTTCCTCCAGCTGGCTGTATTGGACCCATAAGCTGTCAAGTCTGAATTGTTACACTGGAATAGCAAAGGATGCTCCCTTTGAAAATTGATTTTAGATTGTGGGACTACTTTAGGTCTGGAAATAGCACAGGACCTTCCCTGGTGCTGTGAAATCACCCCTTACACAAGCTGGTAGAAATGTCTTCATTGCTCTTGCCTCCAGGGTTTGTTAATGCTGATCTCACCAGAGTGGCCTTGGACCTAAAGGTTTTATCCTCCACGAAATGATAGGTGTTAGGTGCTGTTCAACTGTTCCACTTCCAACCAAGAGATTTTCTTCACCTGCCCCATTTCCCCCCCTGGATTTTGCTAGGGAGCAGGGGCTTTCTTATCCATTTCAGTAGGAACTTACTAACTGCACAGATCCAACATGTACTCCATGTTTGTGGCACTGTTTTAATGGTGCTCAGTCCAATGTTCAGGAAGCTTTACTGACAGGACAGCCACATGGGGGAAAGTTGGAAACTTCTTGTCTGCTCTGGCTTTGCTGCTGCCACCCCCAGTCAGCGTGGGGCCAGCAGCTTCTCAGCACACTCCCTTCCAGCAAGAACCTCTGCAGAAACACTTTCCACCCCAGTGCTGAACTCTGGATGTTGTTCTGTAACCGTTAATGTTGCCTTCCTTAAAACTGTTCTGATGTGAGTGGTGTCCCTCAAGGGTCCGTACTGGGACCAACACTGTTTAAAACCAAATGTTTTGGGCTCAAAAGTACCTTAAAGCTCATCCAGCCCCAACCCCTGCCATGGGCAGGGACCCCTTCCACTGGAGCAGCTTGCTCCAAGCCCCTGTGTCCAACCTGGCCTTGAGCACTGCCAGGGATGGGGCAGCCACAGCTTCTCTGGGCACCCTGTGCCAGTGCATCACAGAACTGTGCCCCATCCCTGGCAGTGTTCAAGGCCAGGTTGGACACAGGGGCTTGGAGCAAGCTGCTCCAGTGGAAGGGGTCCCTGTCCATGGCAGGGGTTGGAGCTGGAGGAGGTCCCTTCCAACCCAAACCATTCTATGTTTCCATGAGGTTTTCACTGTTTTTCTGTGCTTTGGGGCACGTGCTGCACTTTCCAAGCAGCTCAGTGCTGTATGCTTCTGAGAACTGACAGTGGGGCAGGAGACTGCTGAGCAGTGCCTCCAGCTCCATGTTGACCACGAGCCCCTTGCACAGGTGCACAAAGGATTGAAAGCTGCTGCCCTGGCTGCTGATCTCTGTGCCTTAAAGGTGAGAACTTGGCTTGCCAAACAGACACCAGTCATCAGCCTTAGAGCAGGAGCCTTCCACCCCTGGGTAGTGTGTGTGTGCTGCTGTACCCCATGGGAGAAACTTCTAGATGTGGCATGGAGTACTGAGTTATTACAGTGCTGCTGTTCTTAGTACCAGGAGGTCATTTGCAAAGGTGCACACACCTTGCTTCTGCTTCCACAGGGATAAGTGGAGATAGCTGTTGGTGAATGACACAGGAGAATAAAGAACTTGAAACTAATGAGCTCTGGATTTTGGATTTGTCTTGGATTTGCTGGAATCCTACAGTTGGGAAGAGGCTCCAGGAATCCCGTCAGGACAGGGTGATGGAAGTGCCAAGTGGCAGAGGTCAGCTGGCACCAGCCTGGCCCACATCATCCTCTTAGCTCGAGCCGCTGAGCTGGGACCGGCTGTTCTGGGGCAGAGAACATAGCAGAGCCTGGGGAGCAAGGCTGGTGGGTAAACCCAGCACCCACCACAGCAAGACCATGCAGATTTTGCTTCCTGATCCCTGAGCTGAGCGTTTCAAGGTTGAAAGAAGCAGTTTTATGATTCTGGTGCCAAAGCTTGGGGCCAAGTTTGTGACAGCAATTTCCCTTTCTCTCTCCAGTGCCAGGAGCACTTTTGTTCTCCTAATCCCCAGGCTCAGAGGCTTCAGTAGCGGAGCCTGAGCTACTTTTCAGCCCAGGAGCAGCTTTGTGCTCCAGGTCTCTGTATTTAATTAGATCAGTTCATGGGGATCAATGTGATGCTGAGGTAGGGTTGTGTTCCAGGGTAAGACATCGAAGATCAGCCCATTTAAAGTTGCTTCCCCTTTTCTTTGCAAATCCAAAGGATTTTCTTCCTTTTCAGTTCCTATAGATCAGGGGAACTTTTACTGCACACTTACAATCCAGTGTTCCATTCCGTGTTCCTGCCCCTACTTGCTGGAGTTCTGGGGCTGCTGTGATGAGCAGAAGCAGCCTGTCACACTGGGGATGTGCTCAGGTACAGGGGGTGAGATGCTTCCTTCACCTCTTCCCCTGTAAACCTGCACTGGGGAGGTTTGAGGCTGAGCTGGGAGGGAACAACCATTTCCCTTCTCTGGGCTGCTGATGGAGCCAGGGCAGCAGCATTAAGTGCTTAATGAATGAGTGGTGCCAAGAGCAGCAGCTCCTGTAGGGGTACAAAGGTGATGCAAACGCTGCGTGTCTGCACCTTCCTGTGCCTGGCAAGGGAGGTCTTTCAGGGTTAGCTCTCAAGGGATGTTCCCCTTAGAAACAGGGTAGTGTGGAAAGAACGGAGTGAGGAAAGAAGTGCAGAGCTGGAAATAGTTCCTTACATAAAGGGCTAGGGCTTCAATCTCATTACTGTCTTAAGGAGCAGGCGCTTGGCTGCCTCTGACTCCTCCAGTGCAGCCCACGGCCTGAGCAGCAATCGGCTTTGGGAGCCTGGCAGGTGCCCGTGTCCCTCAGTGCTGCTCCTTGGAGCCCACAGCGCTTGTCCCGCTCAGGGTGTGCCTGGTGGGAGCCTTCCCATGGGGCTGGAGCTGCTGCCCCGTGGCCTGTAGCCGGGATCAGGCACCATGAGGCAGCTGGGGATGAGGCGAGCGAGTCTCTCTGCCAGCCTGAAGCTCGGGGACCAGCGGGGCTGCGGCCGCACGCTGCAGGAAGAGGAGGTGCACATCCCCTTTGCCCAGCAGAGCCTGGTAAAGCAATGGAGCTCCATGCAGAACATGACGGACAGAAAGCAGGAGAAAAGCAAGGCTCCCCTTCAGAGGAGCAAGTTCTTGCTCAACATTAATGTGGGTGGCAAGTTGTTCCAGATAGCTTACAGCGTCGTGGCCCGGTACCCCGTCACCCGCCTCGGGAAGCTGGCCCGTTACACAGACCCTACCAAGAAGCTGCAGCTCTGTGATGACTACTCGGTGCAGAAGAACGAGTACTTCTTCGACAGAGATCCTTCCATTTTCCACTACATCTTCCACTTCTACCGCAGCGGGGTCCTGTGGATAATGGATGAGATGTGCCCCAGTAACTTCGTGGAGGAAATTGAGTACTGGGGAATCCATCTGAAATACTCCCAGCGCTGCTGCCGGATCCTGTTTGAGGAAAAGCAGGATGAGCTCAGCGAGTACCTGAAAATCCAGAAGGAGCTGGAGGCAGAGCTGGAGCCCCTGGACTCAGCGAAGCAGTTTGAGGGCAAATTTCTGGGTCGGTTTCGGGAGATGATCTGGAACCTCATTGAGAACCCGTACTCCTCTGTCACGGCCAAGATCATCGCTGTCATGTCGAGCATCTTTGTGCTCATCTCCATCGTGGGCATGACACTGAGCACAGTGGAGGAGATGAAACACAAGACAGGGAAGGCGTGGATGGAGCAGCTGGAGATGATTTGTGCCATCTTCTTCACCTCCGAGTACCTCATGCGGCTCATCTCCTCCTCCAGCTTCAAGAACTTCTTGCGGGCAGCGTTCAATGCTGTGGACCTCGTGGCCATCCTGCCCTTCTACATCCAGATCCTCTTTGAAAGCCTGGACGAAGGGGACATGCTCTACCATGAGGAGCTGCACAAGATGGAGAACGTGGGCAAGCTGGGCAAGGTCCTCAAGCTCATCAAGCTCATGAGGATCTTCCGCATCCTCAAGCTGGCGCGTCACTCCACCGGCCTCCGGGCCTTCGGCTTCACCATGCGCCAGTGCTACCAGCAGGTTTGCTGCCTCTTCCTCTTCATCGCCATGGGGGTCTTCACCTTCTCTGCTCTCATGCACTCGGTAGAGCACGATGTCCCAGGCACCAACTTCACCAGTATCCCCTACGCGTGGTGGTGGGCAGCGGTAAGGTGTGACATCTCCTCCTGGGGCTGGGAGTGGTGGGGGCTCTGTGGGTAGAGACTGCTCCAGGGCACAAGGGATTCACCGCTGCTGGTGCTGGGGTGGTTGGTGGCACAGAGGTGGTGGTGACCTGTGAACCTCCAGGCGTGGGTTAGCGCCAGGGGGGATGTAACCTGGGGTTAGCTCTGAGCTGAGGAGCAGCTTAAAGCACTCGAGAGCCAGGGGTTAAAAGGGCGTTTTGATTTACGGATCAAATGATCCTCCAGATCACCTCTGCCCTTACAATCCCCTCGGCCACCCCAGGCTCCCTGCTTCACATTCCTTGGGGAAGTACAAGAACCACTTGGCAAAGTTACCAGCTTTGAGTATTTAAACCCTGGGCTGATCCTGGCTCCAGCAAAGCCCAAACCACTCTGTTTTCACCAGGTCCCCACAGCCCTGCTGCCCCAGCACCCAAACACAGCTCCTCCGGGTTCATTCCTGGCCTGTGCCTCTGCTTCCCATGGAGGAAGGGTCTGGGAAGCTTCATTCCTGTGGGACTGGGTAGCTCCTGGCCAGGAAGCGCTGGAGCCACCTCTCCATGGGGGCAGGAAGCTCCAGCAGACAGTCTGACTGCAGGGAAAGTCCAGCTCGGTGACGTCCTGCTGCTTTGAAGGGACAATGTGAAGAGGAGGATGGAAGGGGGGTTGTCTCTGGTCTCTGCTGTGGGGTCTCATCCAGCCCTTTCCTTGGGCTCTCCCAGCCTGCTGGGTGCTGGAGCAGGCACGGCCAAGGGCAGCGCCATTCCCGGGTGACACCGGGGGCAGTGGGGAGGTGGGTCCCAGCAGGGCTTGCTCATGTGGGATTTTATCCTTTCCCTTCCTCACCCTCGCCCAGGTCAGCCTCTCCACTGTGGGCTACGGAGACACCGTGCCTGACACGGTGCTCGGCAGGATGGTGGCGTTTGGCTGCATCTCCTTTGGCATCATCCTCAACGGGATGCCCATCTCCATCCTCTACAACAAGTTCTCTGATTACTACGCCAAGCTGAAGGCCCACGAGGACAAGATCAGCCACTCGCTGAAGCTCTCCAGGAGGCTCCGCTTGAAGGAGCGGGTCCTGAGGAAGCTGTCGGAATGCTGCAGGGATGACCCCCGCCACCAGCACTGACACCAGCCCATGGGGTACCCAGTCTGGCCCCCCTCCACCACGTCCTGTCCCCTAGGGAAGCTCCCCAGCTTGCCCATGTGGCCATGACTGTGGTGTGACCTCCCCCAGCGCGGTTCTGCTGTCCTGCAGCTAAAGACCATGCTGTATGGACACCTTTCTATGTGCCATAGGCTGGGGATGGGGCACCCTGAGGACATGGGGAGCGGGATGCATGGGGCTGAGCTGCCACCTTTCTGAGGATGTCAGAAGTGGGCACCAGGATGAGATGAAGTCCTTGTGCAGTCCTGGCTCTGCCCCTGGGTGGAGTGGGACATACAAAGGCAGTGGCCACACAACTTGTAGAATCCCAGACTGGTTTGGGTCGGAAGGGATCCGGCTGAAGGCCCATGGAAGAGCCGTGCATCCTTCCAGCCAAACCCACGTTCCCTCCCTGGGAGCCTGGGGGCACTGTCCTGGCTCAGGCTGCTTCTCTGATGGGACCTGCGGGCACTCTGGGGGTGCAGATCTGGCAGCAAGAACACCCTCAGGAACAGGCATTGAATAAACCAGGTCAAACCCATTCCCATTCCCAGTCGTTCAATAAACTGCTCGTATCTCAGGGGTGAAGAGGGGACATCTCCACAGGGCTCCCATGGGACGTGTCCACTTGCTCGTTTTGGGATGAGGTGCCTGGCCGTGGGTGCACTGGGAGAGGAGCTGGAACATGTGCCTGTGCTCAGGATGCAGCAGTTGGCTCTGCTCTGTGTGCACATCAGGGGCAGTGGGGAGCAGGTCTGTGGGGCACAGGGGGTAGATTTGTCCTCTGGGGTGGGACCATATCTCATCAATGGGCTCCCAGGAGGGGGGGGCTCACCCTTTCCCTGGGTGGGAGGGGCAGAGGGACCCGAGGTTACAGCCCAAGCCCCTGTCACTGCATCCCTCCCATGTGCCCACACCACCTCCTTGGGGACCCCTGCTCCTGTCCCCCATTGCAGTGTGTGATGCTTCCAGGGAATGGGGGTCAGCACCCTCCCCTCCCATTGCTGGCTGTGCAGTGGTTCAATCTCCATCTGCTTCCTCCCCATGCCCATGAGGTGTTTGCTCGCCCCCTTCCAGCCCCATGCAGGCAGGTCCCACAAGCTCTCCTCCTCGGAAAACAGCACTTTTAATAGTTCCTCTGGGTTCATTTTACAAGTCAGCAATGCAGAAATGTACAGACATTTACAGGGCACTGTACAGGCGGGTTCTCATATATTAGTGCTCTTGCTATATACATATGGTACAGCCTGCGGGAGGCCTCTGCTGAGGCAAAATCTGCACCCTGAGATGCTGCCCCAGGGCTGCCGAGCTCCTTTGGGTTGATTTAATCCAAGCTCGGTCCTGAGCCTTCCCGTGGGTGCCAGCAGCCGGGGCAGGGCCGGGCACCCCCTTGCTTTGCTCACCCCATCTCTTTTAGAGGGTGTTGCAGGACAGAGATCCTCAGAGATGCTCTGGAGGGAGCAGGAGCAGCCTCTGCCGTGGTGGTGTTTCCGCCTCCCTGCTCCTCCTGCCTCAATGGCAGCCGCAGCTCCCAGCCACCATGTCATCGTACTGCTTGAGGACCACGTTCTCGTCGTCATCGAAGTAGAGGAGGTTGATGGAGTAGAGCTTGTCGGGCACGCAGCAGGGGCTGCTCACCCCCTCGCTCAGCTTGAGCGCGTTGATGATGGACTGCACGGTGGCGTGGTTGGTCGGGCGCATGTTCTCGCCCAGCGGGAAGGGGCAGGAGCCTTTGCAGTGGTAAGCGTTGTACCCCCGTGGGGAGATGATCCAGCCTGACCATCCGATCTCCTCGAAGTCCACAGACAAGGGGTGCCTCTGGCAGGGCTGCAGCCGGTCTAGCGAGCGTGTGCTGCGCGGCACCGACAGCTTGGCGGGGACGATGGGGGTCTGAGGCTGGGAATCTGCCAGAAGGGAGCACCCGATACCATCAGCATCACACCAGCACGGGAGGCAGCCCCCACTGCCCACCCCTCCTGCAGGATCAGCCCTTTGGTCACAGCCTGCCTCCAGCCCCAACCTCACAGCCCCATCTGCCACACTCATCAGAGTGAGCAAAGCCCAGATCTGCACAGACTAAAGCAGGAAGGAGATGGCCTCTCCCTCTGGCTGGAGAAGGAGCTTTGGATTTGACAGGCTGAGAGAGCTGGGCTGGGGCAGCCTGGAGAAGAGAAGGCTGCTTAAGGGGAGACCTGAGAGCAGCTCCAGTGCCTAAAGGGGCTGCAGGAAAGCTGGAGAGGGGCTTGGGACAAGGGCCTGTAGGGACAGGCCAAGGGAGACAATCTGGGGCATGTGAGACCCACCTGGGAAGCCAGACATGGCAGGAGATGCTCCCCGGCGCCCATCATCTGTGAACAGGACCAACATTGGCTTCTTGCTCTCGTGGTGGTCCCTGCCAGATGCAAACTGCAGCGGAGGGGGCTCGAGGGGGCTGCCCCCCAGCCCCTGCACTGTCACCAGCAAACCCTGGTTGCTGCTTTCATCTTCAGTCCAGTCGAGAACCTGGGGGACCAAAGCAGTGTCACTGAGGCACAAGAGACTGGGACAGGCTCCATGCTGGTGCCCAGCCAGCAGAGCTGCTGCCCAGTCAGCGATGGAGAGGGGTGAATTGGGACTGATTCCCCCCACATTGGCCACACTCCATGTCCCAGGCATGGGAAGGGGCTGTGTTGGGGATCAAAGGACATTGAGGCAGGAGCCAACACTTAGTGAACAGTGGGACGTGTCTGGGGCAGGATGCAGCAGCCCTACAGGGCTCTTGTCTGCCCTCCACCCCCCCGTCCCAGAGACTGCAGAGACTCCAGACAGGGGATTGCACTGGAGCCTGAAGGGCTGCTGGGAGATGGAAAGGGTTAAAACAAGCTCCTGCACCCAGCCCCAGGGTCCCCTCTGTCCGTCCCTGTGTCGTGCCCCCCCCCCCGACCAAGGGCAAGCAACTCACAGCCTGGGTGATGGCGAAGACCTCCCAGCCCGAGCCCTGCAGCGGGACCAGCCTGGCCGCCAGCAGCTTCCTGCCCGCCGGCGCGGCCGCCTCGCTCCTCTCCAGCACTTGGTAGACGCTGACCTGGGGAGGCAGCAAAGGGGGTTAGAAACTGCCCGAGGGAGAGATCCCGGGCACAGGAACTGGGGCACACAGGAGGGGGGGAATTGGCAGCTTGGGTTTGTGCGAAGCGACGGGTGCTTTGGTTGCCGCACGCAGGAGCTGGAGTGATGGTCAATAACCGTCATGTGCACTGCGATGGCACTTGGTCACAGGAATTCCCAGCGACGTGCCAGTGGCAGCCCCACGTCCAGGCAGGGGCACACCGCAGCTTCCACCCCTGTCCTCACCCCCGTGCCCATTCTGTCCCCATCCCACGTCCCCTCCCTGCCCCATCCCACCGCTCCTCACCTGGCACAAGTGGTGCCTTTTAGGGCCGTCGGTGACCCTAGGCCAGAGGCGGAAGAGGTGCAGCTCTGCCGTCAGGACCTTCTCGCTCCTGGCCACGCTGGAGAGAACGAAGAGGAACCGCATCTCCTCGCTCTGGGCTGGAGGAGAGACCGGGTTGAGGAGCAGAGGCAAAGCACAGCCCCACCGGCACCGCAGGGACCCCCCAACCCTTACTCTTGTCCAGGAAGCTGCGGACCGTGTTGCCCTCCAGGATGTCGGGGTTCTTGGTGACTCCATCCGCGTTGGCGACGGTGTTGAACAGATCCACCATGTACTGGGGCGGCTGCTTGACGTGAGCCGGGGGGGGTGGGGGGTCTTCCATGCCAAAGACTTCCAGGAGCCTCTTCAGCGCCTCGGCTCTCCGGCTCTCGGCTCCGGCCGGGCTCGGGCACGCCGGCTTGGCCAGCGCCAGCAGCAGCAGGACGGTCCCCAGCATGGCTCTGCTGCCCCTGCCCAGCCCGCTCCCCTCTGCCTCCCCCGCGCTGCATTTATAAGTGGCTGCAGAGATGGATTGGAGTCAAACCTGCGCTGGAGCAATCAGGAGGGCAAAGAGAGCTGATGGCCGTGCTAACAAGGTGTGAAGCTGGGCTCCGGCTGCTCTGCACCAATTAGCCCCAGTACACAAGTGGAGGGGAAGGTGACTCAGCCCGGGGCTGGTGGGGGGGACCCGGGGGTCTGGGGCCATGCAGCCCCTCTGCCAGGCCCTGGGTGGGCTGCGTTTGCTCTCCCCAGGAGACTAACGGGTATTTAATGATGGCACTAATGGGACAAACAAGAGGCCCTTTGTTGGGGCACTGCAGCCCCGCAGAGACAGCAGCCCTGCCCCATCCCTGTCCTGCCACTGCCGGAGCAGCGGGGGGCTCGGTGTCCCCATCCCATGGCGTGTCCATGAGTGAAGCAGCGGCTGCGGCAGGAACCCACCAGCAGGAGGAACCAAACTGAACCTAAATTGCTGTTTAAATGGATGATGGGATAAAAGCCAATTCATTTGCCCTTATTCCCCAGTCACAGAGAAGCAGGCTGGTGAGGGTGGATGTGCTGGCCCACTTCTCCTTACGTTTGCCACTTCTTTTAATCCCATGTGACTGAACAGAAAGAATTCCTGTTATATGGTACTCACCAGTGCACCAGATAAACAGAGCAGGATTAGAAAGGCCTGTTAGATCCCATAGGGAGTAGGAAATCCACCTGGGAATGAGGCCCACGGGCGTGGGCTCTGTAAGAAGCCTGGCACAGAGAGGGGAAGGTGCAGGAGCAGAGCCAGCACCGTCCTTCTGTCTGTCTGCAGGTAGGGACAGAGCAGCACCGAAGGGCTCCAGGACAGCACACCAGGAGACAACCTGAAGGCTACTTCCCAGTTGGTGTCTGTGATTTATTCTAACCCAATGCTTGGCAGGTGAAAGGGATGTTCATTATCCAGAACAGGCAACGGCAGGCTTGAGTTAACTGAGAGAGGAAACTCTTCCTCACCTCTGGATCCTTTCTCTCTGCTTCCCAGCTCAGCAGCATGTCCTGCAGTTTAACTGGGGTTGCCCACAGATGACTCCCTGCTCCACCGTTGCCTCTGTACCGTTTTCCTCTCCTCTTTGACTCCTGCTTCCCACTCTCTAAGCGTGCACCCCCAGCCCGTGCCAGATGGCTGCATCCCCCCACATCCCAGTGCATCCCCTGGATGCTGGGGCAGACAGAGGGGCCTGGAGCTGCGCAGCAGAGCCCAAGGAGCTGCGAATTGCCCCCCCCCCCCGGTTCTTTTACTAGCTGCAAACCATTTTGGAGAAGGCTTCACTTCTACAGGAGCTGTTTCAAACAGCTTCATTCAACAAAGCCCACATGAACGGCCTTGTCACATTTACATAGAGCACAGACAGTCTGGGGGGTCTGGCAGGAGCCCCCCCTGCAGCTCTCCAGCCCTGCTTCCCCCTGCACTTGCACTGCTGGGGGGGCAGGGTGGTGCAAGCGTGGTCTTGGTGCCTCTGAAGGAGAGGGCACTGCATCAGTGAGGGCTGCGGTGCTGGAGGCAGCTCGGCCCAAAGCAAGCGTTTCCCTCTGCCTTGTGAGTTAGAGAGAAACCCAGTGCCTGCCCTGGGGAAAGGGGCATCAACCTGGGCATCACACAATCACAGAACCCCAGCCTGGTTTGGGTTGAAAGGGACCTTAAGGCTCCTCCAGCTCCAGCCCCTGCCACGGGCCGGGACACCTTCCACTAGAGCAGCTTGCTCCAAGCCCCATCCAACCATCCTCATCCTCATCCTCAGGTTACACTTTGTCCGCCGTGCTGCTGTGGCACTGCTGCAAGCGCTGCTCTGCGCCAGCCTTGTCCCCACACAGACACAGCCCAAGGGTGAGCTGTGGGTGCTCCTGTGTCACCCTCCCAGACCCTGCCCCGGGAGCAGCGGATGGATCACCCAGAGAGGAATGGGAGCAGCTCAGCCCCACCTCTGGATGTGTGCAGCTGTGCTTACCTAAGCGAGCAGCATCCCCTGAGGAGCAGCTGCCCAAGCACCTTCTTACCCCCATTTCCTGCAGAGATTTGCAAAACAAAGGCATGAATATCCCCTGCAGCACCTCAGTGGGACACCCCAGGGGACCCTCGGACCCCCGCATCCTCCAGCTGATCCTACAGCCCCAGGAAAGGGCAGCAGAGCTTGGAAGCAGAAGTATTTGGGGGGGCACAGCAGTGGGTTTTGAATCCGAGGTCCCTGTGCACAAAGGTACCTTGAGGTAGGGAGCAGAGGCTCTGCTGAACTGAGCTTAAGATGTATTTGAGGATTAAGTAATTGTGAGTCCATCTGCAAGGGACCACAAAAGAAATCCGATGTGAGGAGCTGCAGCATCTTCACTGGGGGAGCTGCTGTGGGGCACAGACACAACATCACGCTCCAGTATCCAACACCCAGCATGGGAAGTGCTGTTACCTGCGTGAGGGTCCCCACATGGGAATCTGGGCTCATTCCTCCATCAGGGCAAGGCGTCAGTAATAGGATTTATTCCTCCATCTCAGTTTCAATGCACAGGGCAAAGAGGTTGTTCTGGGTGTACACAGTGAACCCTGCACTTGAGCCTGTGAAAGCCCCATCTTTGGGGCTGAGCTGTTACACATTAGCTTGGAGAAAAAAAGGTCTTGGAACATGAAATATCCACGGCAGCGCTTTTTCCAGATACACCGGGGAGCTGGGACAGCATCACATGGGATCATCCAGCATTTCTCTTTTAGGCTGAGAGAGCTGGGCTGGGGCAGCCTGGAGAAGAGAAGGCTCCTGAAGGGGAGACCTTAGAGCAGCTCCAGTGCCTGAAGGGGCTGCAGGAAACCTGGAGAGGGGCTTGGGACAAGGGCCTGTAGGGACAGGCCAAGGGGAATGGCTTTAACCTGCCCGAGGGGAGACTGAGATGAGCTCTTAGGCAGAAGCTCTTCCCTGTGAGGGTGCTGAGGCGCTGGCACAGGGTGCCCAGAGAAGCTGTGGCTGCCCCATCCCTGGCAGTGTTCAAGGCCAGGTTGGACACAGGGGCTTGGAGCAAGCTGCTCCAGTGGAAGGGGTCCCTGCCCGTGGCAGGGGTTGGGGCTAGAGGAGCTTTAAGGTCCCTTCAACCCAAACCATCTGGGATTCTGTGTTTCTGTGCAAGGGCAAGTGGTGGACCCGGCTCTGGGGCTGCAGGACCAGTTCCTGCCTTGCCTTTACTTTCCCTATTCAAGCTTTAACACCATGACAAATTCCCAGGATAAAACCCCTGTTCTCTGGGATTCGACATAGTCTGATTAAGGAAGAGATGCAGAGTGAAGAGGGGCTTGGGGTGGACATGGCCCACATCCTGCTGCCATGTCACCTCCAGGCCAGGACACACCACCTCCATGGCAGGTCCTGGCTGGCCCAGACAGGGGCTCAGGAGCTGGGGAGGGAAGGCAGAGGCTCCTCAGCAATAACTCCTGTCCAGCTGAAGGAAGGGGGCACAGGCTGTGCTGCCTGGCTCAGTCCGTCTGCTCAATCTCTGCTTTTCTCTCCCTCAGCAAGTGAATTAGGATTAAAACCCATGGAGGGTGAGAAGCTTGGCTCAGTCAGTCTTGGGCTTTGGCTCTAAACAGGACCTTGTCTTACCCTGTGCCAGCCCCTGGGTGCAGGTCCTTCAGGGTTTGTGTTTGGGTCCTGTCTTTAAACTGGTTGTGGGAGTTTCCTGCCCCCTCCCAGCTACTTCAGCTGCTGGAGGAGATTTTGTCCCAGGAGGTGTTTTCAGGAGAGGGAAAGGCACTTTCTGAAAGGAAATCTCTCAGCGATGCCTTAAGAAGGGGGCACAAAATGACCCCCGATTTCTGGAAGCCGGTGTTTCTGGGCGAGACTTGAACATCCTCCTCCAGGCATCCTCTGACGTTGCCAGTCTTTAACATGACACTGAAAGTGTCAGCCGCACTTCCCAGGGGGAAATCCAGAAGGAAAGTGCTGAGACCTGCCCGAGGGCAGAGGCAAAGCTGGGGCTGAGTCCACATTTCCCAGCCCTGGGCCATTATCGCTGAATGAGCCACAGTCCATTAACCAACCCTGGGGACAACAGCTCCGGCCAGCACCTTCCAGTCCCACGTCTGGGCAGCAAATGCTGATTGCCCACCTCTGGAAGCAAGCACTTCTCGCTGCCTAATTCCCTTTTCCACTTGCTGTGTCTTGCAGCTGCAGCACACAAGCCACAGGGTGCAGGGGAGCCGATGCGTCCTCCCACATGGACCAGCATCGTCAAGCAGAGCCCTTCTGTGGGGTGGTTTTCTCCTCCACTCCCCGTGGCTTCCCCAGGCCCCTTTGCTGCTTTCCCACTTCAGAGGAGGACTTGCCCAGGTCTCTGTCCCTCTCTAGCGGCTGTTGCACACAGGAGCTGCCCGAGAGGCTTAACCAGATGGTTTCAATGCAGAAATGCCACTGAGCTGACAGCAGATTCCAGGAGCTGATTCTACCAAGCAGTGCTGGAGGATTGTTTCCACAACTTTCCCTTCTGATACAAACGCTTCAGCTCATCTTCACCGCTGTGACTTGGGTTCTGCTGTGTGGGGGCTCCCAAGGCAGCCCAGGATAAAGCAGCTCAGCATTAGCCCAGCGGAAGGTTTTGACCTGCCTGGAAAGATTTAGTTTGGATTTTCCATTTTTGAGTGGTTCTGAAACATCCCTGGGGCCGAGATGAAAGATTTCAGACCATCAGGAAGGAAACTCCATTTTTTAGTGCTCTGCTTTTGGTAGAGTTTTTATCAGCTTGTCTGATGCTTTGAGAGGGAGGGATGGAGACCCCCCGAGCTCCCTCCCTGCTACATGACTGAGGCCAAGGGAGGCCACGGAGCTGCTGCGAGGGCTGGAGCAGCTCTGCTCTGGAGCCAGGCTGAGAGAACTGGGCTGGGGCAGCCTGGAGAAGAGAAGGCTCCTGAAGGGGAGACCTGAGAGCAGCTCCAGTGCCTGAAGGGGCTGCAGGAAAGCTGGAGAGGGGCCTGGGACAAGGGCCTGTAGGGACAGGCCAAGGGGAATGGCTTTAACCTGCCCGAGGGGAGACTGAGATGAGCTCTTAGGCAGAAGCTCTTCCCTGTGAGGGTGCTGAGGCGCTGGCACAGGGTGCCCAGAGAAGCTGTGGCTGCCCCATCCCTGGCAGTGTTCAAGGGCAGGTTGGACACAGGGGCTTGGAGCAAGCTGCTCCAGTGGAAGGGGTCCCTGCCCGTGGCAGGGATTGGGACTGGAGGAGCCTTAAGGTCCTTTCCAAGGTGCCAATGACACTTGGGTTGTTACTGTGACACCATTCTGGCATTCAAAATAGGGCTTTGGGGGTTGGGGGGGGGCAGGGCTATAGGTCCAGCAATCACAGAAATTGTTGGAAGCTGCACACCAGTGGGAAAAAGCTCAATCTCCCTGGAGCTCACACAGCTCCCGAAGGACTGGGCTTCATGTACGGAAACAACAAAAGCAAAGTGCTGTTAGAAGGCATCCTGACAAACCTACCCCATCACCCCAGGGCTGCAGGAGCCCCATCCCTGCATCCCAGCAGCACGGAGGGGAAATCAGAAACCAGCTCTTCAACCAAAAAATATATATTAAAAAGAAATGAATCGTGTTTGGCCAAGAAACAGACATGTACAAATTAAACACAGTTCCATTGCAAACCATTGCCCATGCTGGAGCTTAGCCACCCTCCACTCACAGCTCTCAGGTGCTGCAGGGACCTGGTGAGAGCTCTGAGCAGCCCCCACGCAGGCAGGAGGACACCAGGAAATGACTCAGAAAGTTATGGAAAAAGGAATTAAGAAAATGATGCATTTTAAATAAAGAGCTTACAATGACAAACTTCATACAAAATACGATGGCTGCCATTTCAGGTTCTCAGTTCTAAGAACCATGTTTGAACTCTCAACATCCTGTTTGGCACCCTGTGTCCATCTCTCTACTGCTCCATCGCTGTCCAGCTCAATCCAAAGTACCTACAAATGAAAAGAGTATTAAAACATACAGCCTCAGGCCTCAGCAGTGCAGCTGTGACCTTGTTCACAGCTGCCAAAGGAAGACGCAGGAACTTCTTACAGTTTAAGCAAATCACATATGAGGTAAACCCAAATCTAGCTACAAAGTGGTGCACGTCTCAGGGTCCACTTCAGTTGTGTTTCACCTTTCCAAGAGGGGCCTAACAACTCACACTATTAATTATTAAAGGTGTGGAAACAGAGGACTCTGTAAGCGAGGAAGTTCTTTCCCCCCCATGAAGGAGATCACGCAAAATATTGAAACCAAGTAGGAGCTCACCTTCCAAAAAAGCAAATTCATCAATAGCTTCAATGGCGTTATCTGCAAAGCAAATGGAAACCAATTACCATGGATAAACCCACCCCACACTGCACCTGCTTCAGACAGCAGCAGCCGGAAGCACACTGCACAACAGTGACCAACTGCAAAGAGGCTGACTTGGTCTGGAGCTGGTGTGTGAGATTATTGCCATCAGCATTGGTAGAAGAGAAGCTTTCCTTTCTCTGAAGACGGGAGAGAAAGAGAAGCACCTACGGTTGCTCCATCACACTGGGACGGGGGGAGCATCCATTGCTAAGCACAAAACAGAATGATCTCTCATACCCAGGTCTTTTCTCTGCAGAGTTTTCCTTTTTCCTTGCTGAGCGTACACGTAAGCATCTTTGGCGATGGTCTCAACAAACAGCTCCTGCAACACAAACACAAGACAGTTTCACACGGGGGCGAGAGAGCGAAGAGAGAACATCCCGAGGCAAGGCAAGGTCTGCAGGAAGGAACCCGAATCTCCATCTTCACACTCCCCTTTCCCAACGAGTGGGTCTGAAAACGACAAACGCCACTGCTGGGCAGCGATGCACGGGAGGAGACTGGAAGTCTCTGGGCAGAGAGGGCTCCCCTGCAGAGCTCTGGGAGCCCAGCTACACCCTGTGCTCCTGGGCACATCCTGCGCGAGGAAAGGTCTCGGCAGACGCATGGGTTGAGCAGAGCCGCCCTCGCACGCGGTTACCTCCGCTGTGGGGAGCAGATGCCGGAGGCCAGAGCCGACCCACACGATGCCGAAGCCACCCCACAGGCAGCCCTGGCTGTGCCATGGCAGACCCCTCCCGAAGGAGGAACCCCCCTCTGCTGCACCCTGCTCCGGTGCGCACTCAAACCCAACCCGTGCCAGCGGAGAGGGGGCTGGAAACCCCCTGAGCGGGCACAGGGCTCTGCGGACACAGAGAGCCCCGCGCCTCCGGGGCTCTGCCCGCTCCCTGCCCGGGCTCTGCCCGCTCCCTGCCGGGGCTCTGCCCGCTCCCTGCCCGGGTCCGCGGGGGCGGGGGCGGGAGAGGAGCCCCAGGGGAGCCGCAGCTCCGGGGCCCGCCCCTGTCCGCCTCCCGCCGGCCCCCAGGGCCCCCGCGCCGGTGCCACCGCCCCTCACCGTGGCCCGCGCCAGCACGAACACGGCCTCGTGGCTCGCCAGGCTCACGTCCGGGTCCGCCTTCACCAGCGCCTTCACCCGCGCCAGCGGCAGCCGCGCCCCGCGGGCCGGGCCCGGGCACCCCGGCCCCGCCGCCTCCTCCCCCGGCCCCGCCGCGTCCGCCCCGGGCCCCGCCACCGGCCCCGGCACCGCTGCGGCCACGGCGCCCGCCGCCGCCGCCATCCCGCGCCCCGCGCCGCGCCTGCGCGGGACCCGCGGGCGGAGCGGGGGGAACGGGCGGGGAAGGCCCCGGCGCTCGGCTCGGCCCGGCCCGGCCCTGCCTGGGGCGCCCCGCGGCCCCCCCAGCACCGCCTCTGGGCCCCGCGCCGGGCGCAGGCCTTGGGCCCCCATCGCCCCTGCGCCGGGGGGGCTTTGGGAGCTCCCCATCACCCTCGTGCCCCCGGACCGTGAGGGTGGCACAGGGTGCCCAGAGGAGCTGTGGCTGCCCCATCCCTGGCAGTGTTCAAGGCCAGGTTGGACACAGGGCTTGGAGCAAGCTGCTCCAGTGGAAGGGGTCCCTGCCCTGGCAGGGGGTGGGGCTGGGGGAGCTTTAAGGTCCCTTCATCCCAAACCATTCCTCCATTCTATGGAACACGGCTCTCTCCATCCCACCTGTGCCGGGTGGGGTCAAACCCTCCATTGGGCACTCACCACCCCGTGCAGGACCCCTGGGGATGCCACCCTTGGCCAGCGCACGCCCATCCCAGCTTTCCCCCCATCCTTGATGCAGTCATCCGCAGGCGCTGCTGGAGGGATGCGCTGTCCCAGAGCAAGGACATCGGTGCCTGCGGGCAGCCAGAGCATCCCTGCCTGTGGCCTCGCTCAGCCTCAGCTTTCCTGCCTCTGAGGCAACGAACCGTGAAACCAGGACGTTTCAACACAGAGATGGCCCAGCCTGGCACCGTGCCTACAGGGTGCTTCCCCTGCTGCCAGCAGAGGTTGGCTCTTCAACGGAGCAAACGTCCTTTGAATGTGGGTATGTTGGAGAGCCGCAGCCTTCACCCCTGCCCTCCTGCAGAGCTCGGCTGTCCAGGGCTGTGCTGGTTTGGCTGTGCAACCCCTGTGAACCACCTCCACCTTCTGCAGGTCCTGGGGGGCTCTGAAGACCTGCCCTGCATGGGGTTCTCTTTGGCCACCATCAGATGAGAATGTGCTCCCAGCCCATCCCTCGCATCCCAGTCACTCCATGAACCCAGGCTCTTTTCTGGATGAGATTTTAAGCGCAGCAGGGCTTGGTGGGCTTCAAGCTTCCCAACAGCAGCAGAGCCCAAGCTAACAGTGCACCAAGAGCTGCTCCTCCTCCTCTTCCTCCTCCACGTGCTCTTTCATGGTCAGGCTACAGCGGCTTCCTGGAGTTGCACACAGCTCCTCACCAGCCGTTAGGAAGGAGCTGCTGGTTTCAGGCGAGGGGCACCTCGGAGAGGCTCCCCTTGCGTGAGTCCTTCTGCTTGGGTGCCTCTGGTGGCCTTCAGGGAGGAGGAGAGCACACAGGAAAGCATCCGCTGATGGAAAATGGTGAGTAAGAACCAGAGCTGGGCTGTGCTGGACCTGGGGATGGGGCAGAGGGAGCAGAGCTGTGTGTCCTGCTTGGAAAGGCTTTGGGAGGAGCCGTATGAGGGGCTGGATCATGTTGGGACCCTCACTCCTCCTGGAACACCAAGTCCAGGAGGACATTGTACATCTGAGCTCGTCGGAGCTTCCAGGGTCTCTGACCAGTTACTGGGCTGGGTGAAGCTGGGGCGGACACAAACGTCTGTGAAGGAGGCAGAGCACCACCAGATTCCAAATGTGTTGGAAAACCTGGAGTCCATCACAGTGACCCGAGGGCTCTGTGCCAGGGCAGTGGCCCCAAAACTGCTGGTTACAAACCTCTGAATCATGCAGGTGCCAAAAATCCCAGTGGCTCCTTGGAGAATGTGGAAGAAGTCACTTTTGGGTAAGAGCCTGGTGTGCCTGGAACAGCGAATTTGTGCTGCTGCAGCACAGGCTACTCCCGGAATGCTGCTTACAGCACTTAGCAGGGAAATTGGGGTGAGTGCCTAGGGCTGGGAGGGGAAGTGGCACCGCTGAGGTGCGTGTATAGTTGTCCATCTACATTTCTGAAAGTCCTGCACTCGCTTCTTTGCATAAGAGCCTTTCTGTTGTGACAGAGAAGAATTACACAAGCACGAACCCAAACTGAAATCCCAAAGGAGGAGAGCTTCAAAAATCAAAGCCTGTACCTTGCCAAGGGCAAGCAGGGCAGCCAGCCCCAGTGCAGAGGGACACTGTGTCTGTGGACAAGGTGGGGGAGAAAGGAGAAGGAGGGTAAGAACAGTGGAATAGAATCATGGAATCCCAGACTGGTTTGATTTGGAAAGGACCTTAAAGCTCTGGAGCAGCTTGCTCCAAGCCCCTGTGTCCAACCTGGCCTTGAGCGCTGCCAGGGATGGGGCAGCCACAGCTTCTCTGGGCACCCTGTGCCAGCGCCTCAGCACCCTCCCAGGGAGGATAATCTCTCCTTTCCCGTAAGGTCCATCTGGGAAGCTTGGGAAAAATGTCAGCCCCATCCCAGCCAAGCTTTGTGCCGTCCTCAAACCTGGCACCCTCTGAGACTCATTCAGCCTCCTCCTGGCAGCCTTTCTCTGGAGGCTTCAGAAATAAAGGTGCTTTGTGGTCATTCAGGAAGCTGGGGCAGCTCTGCGCTGGGGCCTGCATGTCCCGGTTCGCTCGTGTGCGGTGTGAGCAGCACAGGAAACGCACTGGTCACAAAAGTAGGGCAGAGCTGCTGCTGCTTGGCTGTTTTCTGCACCCACCTTTGGCAGCCTGAGTGTCAGCAGCACTGTCCTGCGTTTTCCTCCTGCTGATGGCTCCCAGTGTTCTCCCCCACCAGCTCCTGCCCCACTGCCCTGAGTTCACCATGGACTTCATGGGACCCAGGACCAGGGCAAGGAAGTGTTGTGGAAGGTGTCCCTGCCCGTGGCAGGGGGTTAGAACTGGATGAGCTTTGAGGTCCCTTCCAACCCAAACCAGGCTGGGATTCTACGTTCTAGGACCACTTTGAGCACATTTCACGGAGAAGGCTTAGCGTGAGGCCATGTTGAAGAAATACTGCATTCCCCAGGGGAGGACTTTTGACTCGCTTCCCTCCCTGGTGTTTTAACCAGAGCTTTCTTCATGCTTGCAGACACATCTGGAGAGGAAAGAGGCCGTGGTGAGGCACCTACAGGCAAAGCTCCAAGGGAACAGGAGAGACCCTCCCATAGTGGGTGGCTGCCCCGAGAGTCAGTCTGCAGCGTCCCTTGCAACAGAGCCAGGACAGACCCCCCTGCCAGAGGCCCCCCGGAGCAGGAGGGTGGACTTCAGCAGGGCTTCTCCATCACACAGTAAAGGTGTGGGACCGTGTTCACCTCCTCATTCCAGCTCCGAGCCCCCGGGGTGGGTGGTGCAGCTGAAGAAGGGCACTGCTCAAGGTGGCAGCTTCCACCCAGCCCCTGCCAAGCCAGGAGGAGGAGATGTGTTGAGCAAGGAGGTGGGAGGCACGTCTGATCCTCCCCGGAGAAGCTCAGCCCAGCAGGCACGGCCGCTCGCCAAAGAAGGGGGTGCTCCAGCAGTTCCTGTGCAGCCTGGGCACCCAGCTCAGCCTTGGAGGAAGCCTTTGCCACACATCAAGGCACTGGGAGCGAGGCCAGCCAAGCCCAGGCGTCCTCCTGTTGTGGATCTGGAGAAGTTTGGTGCATCTGCACATCGTGGGATGCCCATCCATCCTGCCGCGGAGGCACCAAGGGGTGCTCAGCTGGGTACGGCCACAGGAGTAGAGCTTCTCTGCCTTTCCTTTAGGGAGCTGCAAAACTGAGCCATGTCCTGGGCAATGATGCTCCTGAGCACATGGAGATACCTGGGATTTGCCCTGACTCTGGTACAGGTCTGAAGTTCAGGGGTTTCACCACATTCAAAATACTCATTTTGGTCTCTTCCCTCCCCTTTCACCACTGCTCCAGGGAGAAAGTAGCATTAGGGGCATAAGAATTGGAAAAACACATCTAAAAACTCCTCTCTGGATCCTGATTGCAGTCAGTATTAGGTCTCCTCATCCTTCTGCACTAAATCTAGCCCAGGGAGGCTCTGACTTTAGGGTGGGTGATAGAGTTGAGGCAAGAATGTGAAATAATCCTTCACTGCTCCCTCCTGTTCCTCTTTCTACCATAGGCCACCCCAAACCAGGCTATGCCACATCAGCCCCAGCACGGTTCCCAACACAGGATGCTTCAAGTGTAACAGGGTAAGGACTAAGGCAGCACTTTTATTCTAGGTGGTTTCCAGCCTGTCCAACCCAGTGGGAAAAGCTGGCACATGGCACAGAGCTGCTGTCCCACTCTGCCCAGACCTGGGACTCACAGGCAGCCCAGCCTCCTCCTGGTAGCTTTCATCCTGCTCTTGACCCCTTGAGCTCACTGCAACAGGGCTTTGTAATCACCCTCTTCCTCCTCACAGGGGTGAAGATGAGATATATGATGATGTAGAGCCTGCTGGGCTCATCAGGAGAGCCCAAGGCTTTCTACTGTCCCCCACGTGCCAGCCGCCAGCAAATCCCTGCCCCAGAGGAGGTGGGTACAGGAGGGTGTGGGGTGAGCACTGCAGCTCAGGGAGCCTCGACACTCCAGCAAGCCCTGGGCAGCAGCAGAGCCCACTGCTCCTGTGCATGGGAGGCTGATGGGTTCTTTGCTGCCTTGTGAATGGGCATGGGAAGCCCTGATCCCTCCACGCTCAGGGGGCAAAGTCAGGGGTTGATCCCAAGAGGAGAAGGCTCCTGTGTCCTGTCTCAGCAGGTGTCTAACACCTTGCAGCAGCCTCATGGCAGCACCTCTCCCAGGGTTTGCTTTTACAGGTGAAGATGCTGGTCGAGCCTCTAAGGGGTTTGCCTTGCTGGCAGCTGCACAGAGGTAACCGGGGGGGTTTACTCTTTCTGAGGGTCCCAAAATAGCCAGGGCTCCTTGCTGCTTTGACAAAGCTGGTGGTTGAATGCTCTCTGCTGGCTTGCAATGGAAATCTCCATGGTGATGAGCACAAGTGGCTGGTTTAAACCTGGCCCCAGAGCCCCTGAGTGGGTGAAGGGAAATGTGATGGGGCTGAGGGGGAGAAGGGGAAGGAGAAGGGAGGGAGCAGAGTGTGGGTTCCCCTGAGCTTTCCTGTGACTCACAATGGCTCTGCAGAGAAGCCCAGGTCCCCCGGAAGATGAAGCCAATGACACTCAAGGAATGCAAGAAGGAAGAGAAGGCCGACAGGGAGTTTCAGAAGAAATTCAAGGTGAGCAGCAAGGCAATGGCAGGGGAGCTGTGCTGCACAGAGACCAGCTCACACCTTCCCTGTTCCCCACTGAAATGTCCCCAGATCAGACCAGCCCCACACACTTGCCTTGCTTTTTCCAAGGGAGAGTGGATGGGGCTGCCCGGCTCACACTGCCCTGGGGGCAGCTGCTGAGCTGCAGCACTCACTGCTCTTTGTGTCTCAGTTTGAAGGAAGCATCAGTGTCCTGACTCAGATGATGGTCGACCCCGCGGTGACAGAGAAAAGGGGTGGAGGGAAGAACCTGCCGCTGAGACGAGGAGAAATTCTTGATGTTATTCAGTTTACAAACCAGGAGCAAATCCTCTGCAGAAACAGCCAGAGGAGGTGTAAGTCTGTGGGGGCTGAGGCTTTGCCTTAGCAGGGATCACAGCACACACAGCTTTGGGAACAAGTTTCTTCATGCAGACATGCACCAGCAGACAGCAGAAGCATGCCCTTAGCCATGGCATGTACCCTGGCTCTCCAGTGCTCCCACTTCTCTTTGCAAAACATCCTACTCTTCTTCCTGCCTGGTGCCAGCATTCCAGCTGCTAGCCAGGCTTCTTGTCTCCCTCTGCTAAAAGCACTTCCCACAGTCTCTTGGCCACCAGCCTGGCTTTGCAGTAGGCATGGGCTCCACAAGCCATGTTTGCACTGAAGGACTGTAGCGACAGGACAAGGGGTAATGCCTTGTACTTAAACAGGGGAAGTTCATGTTAGATATAAGGCAGAAGCTCTTCCCTGTGAGGGTGCTGAGGCGCTGGCACAGGGTGCCCAGAGAAGCTGTAGCTGCCCCATCCCTGGCAGCGTTCAAGGCCAGATTCTATGGTTCTATGATGCTCAGGTGAAATGGGCTGCAGATCCCATCAGCAGAGAGACTGGGATCAGGCTCTTCCCAGCCAGCTGCCACCCAGCCTGGCAGGTTCCTTCCCTTGCATCGCCTCCAGCAGGTTCCTCCCAGGGGTCCAGCTTCCAAGAGCCAAGCTCTTCCTTGTCCCAGGCTCTCCCATGGGATGCAAGACGTTGCTAAACTCTGTCCTGTGCAGGGGCAGGTCCTGGGGTGCGTCCCCACTCATGCCCCAACTCCTGGCACAACCTGAAGTGCTTTTCCTCACTGTTGCAGATGGCTACGTGCCCCGGACCGTGATGCTACACCTGTGAGTACCCCTTCCCCAGCCCTTCCTCCTCACTCCATGAGCTCTAGCAATTGCCCAATGGGTCCCCAGCACCAAACCAGCCCTGGCCATGGGCTGCCAACTCAAAACCATCCAACCCAGGCAGTTACCATAAGTGTAGCATCAGACACTTACCCTGGGCTGGGAACCTGCTGTTTCTGGTGAGGTTCACCACCCATGCACAACAGGAGAGGAGCCAGAGCCGTGCTTACCCCATGCCAGAGGATCCCATCTCTGTGGGGAGAGCCCAAGGCTGGGAAGAGGTGAAGGGATCCGTTAGGAGAGGCGGGACACGTGTGGAGCAGGAGCTGGCCCTTGCCTTGGCTCACAGCACCCTTGTCTTTCCTTGCAGGGACACTGACATCTATGACGATGTCGAGATTTACGGTAGGCGTGGAGGGAGCCGCTGCTGTAGCCCCTTCACCAAGCAGTGAGCCCCACAGCAGCACTGGGGCCTCCCCTCCTGCCCTCTCGCCGTTTCGCCACTTTCCCTCTCTCCTTTCCCGCTCTGTGATTCCCTCTCTGGGACATCCCTCCCTTGCTCTTAGTTCCCCACAAGTCCCCGTGTTCCCCTGTTCACAATGCTTTGGACTTCCCCTCACCCTTTTCCTTCTCAGCTTGCTCCCTCCCCCTGCTGCCAGCCCCACGGGGCTCTCTGAGACGTCCCTGATCCCCTGGACAACTCAGGGACACCCTTTCCCAAACGGTTGCTCACTCCCAGCATGCACATTCCATCCCCTGGCTCACAGATGGAGCTGAATAGAAACAACTGTATTTCAGCTGTACTGAGGAGCAAATGTTTTATCTGGCAGGGTGAGGATCCATGGCTAAAACCAAAGGTACAAGACACCACCGACAGAGACCTCCCCAAGGGTCAAAATGTGATCCAGGTCACACCTTCTCTGTGGCTTTGTTTTGTCTGTGTAAAATATGGCAACGGTATGAGATGGGCTTGTGGTCTTATTGGGGGGGGTGTGTGTTTAAAATCTGGGCAGAGAAGTTTTGGTTCAGAGAGGTTTTCATGTTTCCCATTCCCAGAGCATCCTCAGCTGGGAACAGCGCTGTATCCCTGAGCCCACCCCCCATCCTTCAGCTGTCCTGCCCTGGAGAGATTCTTCTCCTGCAGCCTGTGTTTGTGCTGGGGACTGCCCCAACCCAGGGGCAGGAACTTGCACTTGGCCTTGTTGAGCTCCATGAGGGTCCCGTGGTCCCCCCTCTCCAGCCTGTCCAGGTCCCTCTGTATCCCATCCCTTCCAGCACATCAACTGCACCACACAGCTCTGTCATTGGCAAAATTCCCCACTGGACATTCTCCAGTTCCTGGGAAACAGTCTTCCTCTGCAAGCTTTGTTCTCATGAAGCCCTTAACAGATGTGGGGCAGGAGGTGATCCTTTTGGATCGGGAACTGTGATGGGAAAGGTGCTCGGGCTGAATCCCTGCTCCCAGCCTGCAGCACGCAGCCTGGTCCTGGTGGGGGTGGAGGGTTCAGCACTGGCACGGCCGGATGCCAAGCCCAGATTAACCATTGAAGACGTCACTTTCCATTATGGGAAAGGCTCCCAAAGAGCCCTGGAGCTTTTGGTGCCTGGGATTAGCCTCCGGTGTGCTCAGCTCTGGGTGAGGGGCCAGGGTCTGGCAGCGTGGTGGTGCCGGCACGATGAGCAGGGCCAGGAGCTGCTCTGAGGGGCTTTGCCTGGGCAGCTGAGGGTGACCATGTGGGAGCAGGTCAGGAGAGCTTTGCTGGACTCGCTGTCCACGGCCTTCCTGCGGGTCTGGAAGTGGGCACGGGCTTTCTGGCAGAGAAATGGCCTCCTGACGCTCTCCATGCTGTCGGTTGTCACCGGCTGCCTCCTGGGGTTCCTGCTGCGAGCACTGGAGCTGACGGAGCTGGTAAGTGTGACCAGGATGGGGATGGGAGTGAGCAGGATGGAGCAGGGCAGGTGGGGCAACCAGCCCCGCTGCTGGCAGCACATCAGCATCGATGGCCCCAGATGGGCACAGCCCAAAAGCAAAGGCTCCTGCCCAAGAAACCTGCTTCTCTGGGCAGGTTTCTCCCAATGGCTTTTCTTTGGGTTATTTTGTGACCCAAAAGCTGCCATCAAACACCAAAGCTGCAGAAGAAATCCTGCACCCCTCTGCTGGGAGCAGAGGCTGTGGGATGGACCCTAAGGGGCTGCAGGAACCTCCAGGTGGGATGGGGATGGGGATGGGAAAGGGGGGAATGGATGCTCGGTAACAGAAACAGCAGTGCTGGGGTCTGAGGGCTCCACTCTCCCCAGCTGTGCAGATGCTCAACCAAAGCACGTTTCTTCCCTCTGGAGATGACCCAGCCAATAAATAGGGGGTAGTGGAGAGCCTGGGGGGGGGAGGGGTCACCTTCCCCTGAGCACCCCCGGAGACCGAGGCAGTGAAGAAAATGCACCTAAAAGGTGTTTGCTCAGCGCTTTCTAGGAGCTGTTCAACATCACCGGGCCAAAACCCAGGCGGTTCAATGACATTGGGTGGCTTGGCAGAGGCTCAGCCCTGATCTTCAGCCAGGCCTCAGGGAGAGCTCATCTGGCCCTGCAACACCCCACGTCACCCGCTGGGGTTTAGCAGGGTCCTGTCACTTCAATTACACCTCCAGCATCAGCCGCCCGCAGCAGGGGAGCTCGGTACTGCACTGATGCTGCTGTAATCCCCTGCGCCCCGGTGCGGATGCCGAGAGCAGTCACCCACCCCCGAGCCGCGGGGCTCCTGCCCTTGTCCTGCCGTGCGCCGAGCCCATCCGCCCTCTGCCCCAGCCCCATCCCATCCTCCTGCCACAGCCCTGCACGTGGTCCCCAGCAGCCACGATGGGAAAGGGTCAGGAAGCTGAGAAACCCGCTGGGAAAAGAGATGCTGCTCAAGTCACTGCTCCTCGCACCCCCTGCACCAGCATGGTTTGCCTGGGCAGCCCCCCAAAGCTCCATGGGGTTGATTGCTTCAGAGTAACCAAAAGTACCTGCTTGACTTGAGGCCATCTCAGGTCCATCCCTGACACCTTTACAGCGGCAGTGATGGAGGGATGGATGGTGGATGGATGGATGTATGATGGATGGATGGATGGTGGATGGATGGATGATGGATGGATGGATGGATGAGATGGTGGAAGGATGGATGGATGATGGATGGATTGATGGGCAGATGGCTGCCATATTAGAACCAAGCTCAGAGCTGGGTCTTTTGGGGAAAAAGGTGAATTTATCAGGTTTGAGCCCTTAACCCGCAATCGGCATCCACTTCTCAGCTCTCATCTGACACAACGGCTCTGCTTTATGTGCAGGAGAAGCAGTATTTCTCCTTTCCTGGAGAGCTCCTTATGAGGATGTTGAAGATGCTGATCCTGCCCTTGATCACCTCTAGGTAAGACACCATCTTCTGCTTCTAAAATACCACCTCTCCATCACATTGAGGAGATCACCCCATGATCTCCTGATGAGGAACAGGGTGCCCAGAGGAGCTGTGTCTGCCCCATCCCTGGCAGTGCTCAAGGCCAGGTTGGACACAGGGGCTTGGAGCAAGCTGCTCCAGTGGAAGGGGTCCCTGCCCGTGGCAGGGGTTGGAGCTGGAGGAGCTTTAAGGTCCCTTCCAACCCAAACCAGTCTGGGATTCTGTGACATCACCCCAAAATGGCCTGGGGTGAGGATAACCCCAGCAACCCTGGCTTGGTGTCCCCCATGATAGTGGTGGATTGAGGAAGCATCACCACCAGCAGCTCTCCTGTAGAACCCTCTCTATTTTTAGCTCAGTTTTGTTTAAAAGTAGTTTATGGGCTGCTTAGGAAAGCTTCTGTGTCCATGAAATCTGAACCAGCAGCTCTCCCCCTGGGGGAGGAGGGTCCATCCCCACCAGGATGTTAGAAACCCTGCTGAGACCTCTCTTCACTGCTCCCAGTGACGCTCAGCAGCAGCACAGGGCATCAGATACTTAAAGAGAACGGTGTCACAATCAGAAGAGCAGCATTAGTTATTTACCATCAAAATACACCAGGAATATTTCCTTCTTTTCCCCCTTGGAGATAACAGAAAATACGGCCAAGCCTAGAAAGGGATTGGAGAGGCATCTCCTCCCCTTTGCAGCTTAACCTGGGTTGCCACAACCTGGCACTCGAATGTGCAAGAGCTCAGTGATGCCCTTAAGCATTGGTTCAAAACTCTCTGGAGATGTCTCCCATCAGCTGCATCTTGTGCAGTTTTGGAGCAGGCACTGACCGTGATCTCCTCTGGTGCAGCCTCATGTCCGGGCTGGCCACCATGGACACCAAGGCCTGTGGGAAGATGGGGGTGCTCACCATCACCTACTACCTGTGGACAACCTTCATGGCAGTGACTGTGGGGATCATCCTCGTGGTCAGCATCCACCCGGGCGCAGCTGCCCAGAAGGACAAGTACTCGGTGGGGAAGGCGGTGCTCAGCTCCGCGGATGCGCTGCTGGATTTAATCAGGTACGAGGCAGGCTGTCAGCAGGGGCAGGTTGAGGATGGCATTTCACAGGCGAGATGTCCCCATGAGGCTCCTGGGGATACTGAGACCTCCAGGGAAGCAGAACCGCGTGCCACGCTGACAGGCACCAGCACCTCTCTTTGCCCTCGGCTCACACCACGCTGGTGGTGGCTGTCACGGTCCTTTTGGCCTCGCGCCCACCAGAGGTGCTCCCCATGTTGTTTCCTGTGCTCTCAAGATGTGCTTTAACCCCTGTGCCATTGCTCTTACAGAAACATGTTTCCTTCTAACCTTGTTGAAGCTTCATTCCAGCAAGTAAGTTCCCTTCCCCTTCCTGTTTCCCTTTCCTTTTCACCTTCCCCTTCCCTTTCTCTTCCCCCTTCTCTTTCCCCTTCCCCTTCTCCTTCTTCCCTTCTCACCCGTCATGGTGGTGGCTTTGCCTCTGTTGTCAGAGCAGGATGAAGCCAAGAGGACCCTGACCTCCCTGCTTTGCTTCTGTCGCAGTATCGAACGGTTCTGGTCCCGGTGGTGAAGTCTCCTGGCATTCCAAAGGTCCCGGGGAAAACTCTCAGTTTTATCTACTTTGCACCTGATGACGAAAATCCTGAAATCCATCGGCCCGTGTTCCTGGAGCTGACCCCATCTCCTGAGATGACCTACAGGACCCTGCCCGGGACCAGCAACGAGATGAACGTCCTGGGAATCGTCATCTTCTCAGCGACGATCGGTACCAACCCAGCAGGGATGGGGACGTTTCCTCCCCGTTTTCCATTCTCTGGGGAGACCTCAGAGCAGCTCCAGTGCCTAAAGGGGCTGCAGGAAAGCTGGAGAGGGGCTTTGGACAAGGGCCTGTAGGGACAGGCCAAGGGGAATGGCTTTAACCTGCCAGAGGGGAGACTGAGATGAGCTCTTGGGCAGAAGCTCTTCCCTGTGAGGGTGCTGAGGCACTGGCACAGGGTGCCCAGAGAAGCTGTGGCTGCCCCATCCCTGGCAGTGTTCAAGGGCAGGTTGGACACAGGGGCTTGGAGCAAGCTGCTCTATGGAAGGGGTCCCTGCCCGTGGCAGGGGGTGGGGCTGGAGGAGCTTTAAGGTCCCTTCCAACCCAAACCATTTCATAATTCTGTGTGCACGGGAGAGGCAGGAAGGTTTACCGGGGAGAAAGTCATGGGAAGGAGAAACCTGAAGCGTAAGGACAATGAGTGTGAAAGAGAGGAATCAGGAGGGGAAAGAGTAGGAGGAGATGAGGCAAGCATGGGGACAGGATTACCTGCAGATTAAGAGGTGAGAGCGAGGAGCTTGAATTTAGAGTATGAGGAACCAAGAAGCCAATTAGAGGATTTGAGGGGTGGAGGCAGTGGAGGCAGTGCTGGAGCCACTGGAGCTGGGGAGTGTCTGGTTGTAAAGGCTACGATACAGGGAGTGCCTGGAGGAGACAGCCACAGTGAGACAGGGCAAAGGCAGACCCGCTGAGAGACCCTGCAGGAGAGGAGATGTCTACGGCAGGACCCTGTCCCCTTGGCCAGCACCATCTGCTCACCAGGGACACCTGGGGAACCTGCTGAGCTCCTGCTTGCAGGACACGTGCCCAGCTCCAGCCCAGCCAAATGGGGAGAACAGGCTTTTGTGTTCTGAGATTATCACCCAGCACCCTGCCAGCGTGGGAGGGAGGATCAGCACCGGCTTGGGACACAGTGGGAGATCACCTGAGTCAGCCCTGGCCTCCCATATGCACTCCCTGGGTCCTGCACAGGATGGAGGGGCTTTGGACAAGGACAAGGTCCCTGTAGGGACAGGCCAAGGGGAATGGCTTTAACCTGCCAGAGGGGAGACTGAGATGAGCTCTTAGGCAGAAGCTCTTCCCTGTGAGGGTGCTGAGGCGCTGGCACAGGGTGCCCAGAGAAGCTGTGGCTGCCCCATCCCTGGCAGTGTTCAAGGGCAGGTTGGACACAGGGGCTTGGAGCACCCTGCTCTATGGAAGGGGTCCCTGCTCGTGGCAGGGGTTGGCGCTGGAGGAGCTTTAAGGTCCTTTCCATCACAAACCAGGCTGGGATTCTGCGATAATAAACCCCAGAACTGGAGGGTTTGGCCAAATCTGCACACTTCTGAGTGTTCATCGAAGTGGCAGCCATGGTGTCTGACTCTTGTCACTCCAGAGCAAGGACAGGGCTGCAACTCGTCACCACATCCTCACCTATACATAACCCCACCAGGCTCTCAGTGGAACCCATTCTGTGACCACCAGAGCCTCGAGGCACTTGGCACGACTCAGGCTGCTCCCAGGATTCTGTTACCACATCCATGTGCTTGGTTGCAGGACTGCTCCTGGGAAGAATGGGCGAGCGGGGAGCACCGCTGGTGAACGTGTGCCAGTGCCTGAACGAGGCCGTTATGAAGATCGTCTCCATGGCAGTTTGGTAAATCTGATTTCCATCCCTTCAGTTGTTCCCTTACCCCTGCCTCACGGGAACGCTGACCACAGAGCTCCAAGTGTGTTGTGAGCACTGGGGTGATCTTGGTCTGACTGCACCCCATGGTACCAGACACCGCAGTGATGGCTGTGGAGTGCTTTGATCACTGCTCAGCCTCACAAATCATCGTTCATGTTTATTCTTTGCAGGTACTTCCCCTTCGGCATCGTGTTTCTCATTGCTGGAAAGATCCTGGAGATGGAAGACCCATCAGTTATAGGCCAGAAGCTGGGGCTTTACGTCATTACGGTGGTGTCAGGACTGGCCATCCACGGACTCGTTATCTTACCTCTGCTTTTTGTGCTCATCACCAAGAAAAACCCCTTTGCTTTCATGCAGGGGATGCTGCAGGCTCTGCTCATCGCCTTAGCTACCTCCTCCAGGTACGAAAACGTGGCTGAAACACGCTGATGCACCTGAGCAGGCATCAGGTTTGGTGGAGGGAGAGGATGCGTGCATGGCCGGGGGGGCTGGGGGAAAGCAGGAATAATCCAGAGAAAGCACAGTTATGCTCCAGCACTATTTGACATGAGAATGTTCCCAGTTTCAGTGGGAAGCGGGATGCTCAGCACTGGTCCCCAGCAGGATGAGCCTTAGGGCATCTTCAGACCCAGCCACTCCTCTCATGGGGTGTTCCCCAAGCAAACCAGCAGCGTTTGTGTCTGTGTGAGCTTACTGGAATTGCTGCAGTCACTTTCCTTTCAAAGGATTCAAAATAGGGACCTGGAAGTGCTTTATAAACCAGTGTGGGGTTATGGGCTTGGGTTTGAACTGAAAACATCAAAAGCTCCTCTGAACACCAAAAACCTTAACTCAAGACCTGTGCATCCCAAAGCTCCTCCAAGGAAAAGCTTTGTCTGAGAAGATTTTAAAATTTGATATTATCTGATTTATTTTCAATCTTCAAAACATTCTTTAAAAGAAGAAACTCCACGAGACACCTCTGCCCTTCCTGGAGGACACACAGCTGCAGACATCTGCTTAGGAACCATTTCACAAGGCAAAGGGTTTCCTGGTCTCTCAAATGCTTCTTCCCATAATCCCGAGAACGGCATCTGGGGTTGTGCCCCCCAAGCACCCCCGTGGGTAACGTGGGCACCAGGGATGTCCAACCAAGCTGTAACCATCCCCCTCTGCTGTTCTGAGAGCAATGCCTTCATCACTGCAATGACACTGCTCTGGAGCCAGGCTGAGAGAGCTGGGCTGGGGCAGCCTAGAGAAGAGAAAGGTCCTGGAGGGGAGCTCTTAGAGCAGCTCCAGTGCCTGAAGGGGCTGCAGGAAACAAAAAGAATCACAATCATCTCTTGTTCTGCAGCTCTGCAACCTTGCCCATCACCCTGAAGTGTCTCCTGGAGAACAATGGAATAGATCGACGTGTGGCACGCTTCGTCCTCCCCGTCGGTGCCACCATCAACATGGATGGCACCGCGCTGTACGAAGCAGTCGCTGCGATCTTTATTGCCCAGGTCAATGAATATGACTTGGATTTGGGACAAATTATAACTATCAGGTAAATGTGCAGCAGCTGTATTACTTCTCCATTCATCTCTTTAGGCTTTATAACAACCTCTCAGCAGAGACCTTGCTACTGCTCAGAGTGAACATTGCTGGGAAGCTGCAGAGTAGGGAAGGCTGCAGCGTGCAGCAGCAGGGCTGGGCTCTGCACCCACAGAATTTGCTGCAGAATCAAAGACTTTGCCTGCAGGTAAAATGCAGGCTGCAAACAGGCAGCACGACTAGAGCTGCCTGTAGGGACAGGCCAAGGGGAATGGCTTGAACCTGCCAGAGGGGAGACTGAGATGAGCTCTTAGGCAGAAGCTCTTCCCTGTGAGGGTGCTGAGGCGCTGGCACAGGGTGCCCAGAGAAGCTGTGGCTGCCCCATCCCTGGCAGTGCTCAAGGCCAGGTTGGACACAGGGGCTTGGAGCAAGCTGCTCTATGGAAGGGGTCCCTGCCCTGGCAGGGGCTGGAGCTGGAGGAGCTTTCTCTTTTCTCTCCCCTTTGGGTGCAGAATATCCCTCCATAGAGGAATAACTTCCTTTGCCATTCAAACACACTTTGCCTTTCCCCCCAGCCCCACACTATCTGCATGGCCACCTTCTTTTTGCAGCATCACAGCTACAGCAGCCAGCATAGGGGCAGCCGGGATCCCCCAGTCCGGACTCGTCACCATGGTCATCGTGCTCACTTCGGTTGGGCTGCCCACAGACGACATCACTCTCATCATCGCAGTGGACTGGGCTCTGTAAGTGACTCCCAGCGCAGGGCCGGCGGTGGGTGGGAAGTGCCAGCTCGTGGTGCTGCATCTGAAGCTGACGGACACGCGGGTCGGTGCTCTGAGCTTCACAAAGCTTTGTGCCTCCGCCCTGGGCAGAGAGGGAACAGCGTCAACTCTCCTGGCTGCTTTTCTCTCTCTTTCACATGAAAAGGAAGTTTAACTTCTCAGGTGAAAGTTCCACTCCAGCAACACGAGGTGGGTTCCACCTCTGAGCAGCACTGGGTGCCCAGCACCATCACCAAAGGCATCCTCACGGCTCTCTCTTACCTAGGGATCGATTTCGGACGATGACCAATGTCCTTGGTGATGCTCTGGCTGCTGGCATCATAGCACACGTCTGTGAAAAGGACTTCACTCCAAAGGCTCCTGTGGTACGTGTGCTTGCCTGGGCTCGCAGGGGAGCACAGGATGACCCCGCAGACACAACCCACGTTCTGCCCTAAGAAATTCAACGGTGGTTTTTCCTTTTTCAGCAGGATCCAGGAAGCAGCACAGCCAAGCTCCCTTCTGGGGAGGCCTCACACCCGCAGCCCAAAGACAACGTGATTGAAGTGATGGAAGAAAGCTTGTTTGGTCAGACAGGAGTTCATTATAACATCTGCCAGGTGTAGATCGCAGCATTCCTGCACCTGGGAACGGGATCCTGGTGCTAACCACGGACATGGTGAATGCCCCGTGTGGATGCTCTGCAAGGCAAAGGCCTTCCTTGGCACAAGTGGGAAAAACCTTCTCTATCCTTTGAAGACCACAGGACTCTGCAGCAGCACCCACAGAGCAACCCCTGCACCCGAGGCCACCTCCTGCTTTGCTTTAGTAGAGATATTTCTTTTCTAACCATTGTTTTTTTATTTCATTCCTGGGTTCTCAGCTATAAACTGAAATGAAGGAAATCTTCGTCTGGAGCTCAAAATCCTGTATTTTCAGCTGGTTGAAACGTTCCACCTTTGGCATGGACAGTGGGAATCATTTAATGGCAGGGGTGGAAGGACCAGTTGTGTCTCTACTGGCTGTCTTCTTGCACTGACCAGGCCCAATTGCAACCATGCTGATTTTCCCAGCTATGGATCTGCCCCCAAGTCCAAATTCCAATTACAGCCTTAAAATCACAGCCTTAAAACAGTGCCCAAGGCCAGGTTGGACAGGGCTTGGAGCAAGCTGCTCCAGTGGAAGGTGTCCCTGCCTGTGGCAGGGACTGGAGCTGGATGAGCTTTAAGGTCCCTTCCAACCCAAACCAGGCTGGGATCCTATGATACAATCCCTGGTGTGAGCCGAGTGACTGAAGAAGGCAAAGCCATGCAAGTATCTCCTACCTCAACCCTTAACTGCGCCTGGTCAGAAAAGAAGCACTTAAGACACTTGGGCAAGGCTTCAACAGGTTTTATCTAAGGCAGCTCAAGCAGCCAGGATGTCCGTCCTGGAATCCAGGGATAGGGCCCAGGGTGCACCCCAGGCACGCGCGCCGTGTGCCTTGGCATTGTGCCGCCAGTCCTGCCATTGCACTACCTTCACAGTCCTCCTTGGAGCTGGGTTTTCTTCCTTCCTCCATGCCTGCAGTGAGAAAGGATCAGAACATTAAGGCCCATAAAATACGTTAAAAACAGGAAGGGGAAAAAGCAGAGTAAGGGCAACTTAAACCAAACTGAAAGTCATTTCTGACTCCCAAAGGGACAGCATTTCGTCTCATGGGACACTGAATGGGGAGGTGCTTCCTGCAAAGTATGACATGGAGCATTCCAGAACCACTGCTGATCATAACTGAGATCCAATACAGAGATGTGGCCGTTTTCTGGAGTTACTTAAAGAGAAACTTCAGAAAAGTTTGGATGCTGACGTTTTACCCAGCTGAGGGTCATTTCCTGAAGCTCATCACACCACTATTATACTATTGTTAACTACCCTTTCCTCTAACCTGCGTTCCTAAGGATATACATCTTTGTATGAATTACTTCTGTGGTGTGTGGGCATGTAGACTAGCACAGATGTGCACATAAAACTGATACACACTAAACCATACAATTAAGAGATAAATACATGTATTCTAAACAAAGTATAAATACAGTATACAGTTTCATACATGTGTAAACACACAGGTATTACGTGTGTATGTACGCACATATAAATGTGTACGGACACGCTGGCTCTTGGAAGAAGCAAAGCAGAAGGAAGAAGAAACCTGGAGAGGGGCTTTGGACAAGGGCCTGCAGGGACAAGCCAAGGGGAATGGCTTTAACCTGCCAGAGGGGAGACTGAGATGAGCTCTTGGGCAGAAGCTCTTCCCTGTGAGGGTGCTGAGGCGCTGGCACAGGGTGCCCAGAGAAGCTGTGGCTGCCCCATCCCTGGCAGTGCTCAAGGCCAGGTTGGACACAGGGGCTTGGAGCAAGCTGCTCTATGGAAGGGGTCCCTGCCCTGGCAGGGGTTGGAGCTGGAGGAGCAGGAGCAGGGTCACAAGTGCTTCAGCCCAAGCTGAGCAAGCCTGGCCTGTCTGAGCCCAAACCCGCCCATGCCAGGATTCTGGAGCTCACTTACCGTGGCTGGTCCCAGGCTCCAGCACAGCCCTGAAATCCCACGAGCACGAGCGCGTGCCCCATCCGTGCCCCCCGAGGCCCAGGACTCAACACTGCTCCTACAACCAAACCATTTCTGCTCTGCTCTCTTTTATCACCTTTCTTTGGCACACGCCCAGGCTGGGCTTGGGGACAGAATCTGCTCCAACACCTTCAAACAGAACTGCAGGTAAGTTTGTTGAAGAGCTCCACTGCCACCTCCACCAGGAAGCCCCAGACTAACTTTTATTAAACTCAGTGAAGTTCCTTGCAAGCCTCAGCTTAAGTTGCAGACGTGCTATTTACCAGGTGCTCCAGCTCTGCAGAGAGAAGTCAATCCAGATGAAACAGTTCAACACTTAAAGCTTTATGCTTAGAAGTCAAACAAGTAAAATCTCTATTTTTCTGTGACAGATTTTGTTGCAAGGAAACCAGCTGCCAAAGGGATGTCAGTGAAAGCTCTGCCCTGAGAGACCAGCTTCAGGTTCCCATTTGGCTAAATTCACTGCTTCTATCCATAAATTCTTGAAACATAACGCGGAGTGACACAGGGACCTGTATTCACCTGCATTCACCTGCGTGGGAATACACACACACACACACGTAAGAAGTTACCCGAAACATCCCACTTTTCCTCCCAGCCTCCTGCTGTCAGCAAGTGCTGGAAGCAGAAGATAGTTTAAGGAAAAGACAGGTGGATTCAAAACTCAAGCAGCAAAAGGGAAGGAGATAACCAGTAACAGGCAGGGCCCCCTCAACACCCCACTGCTGCGTGCTGGGGAGGCAGGAGGGGAAGTGATGGAATGAGGAAGGGATGGTGGGATGTGGCCAGGCTGGATGTGTTTTCCTTGAACAGCTTCTCCTGCTCTGCTGGAGACAAACCCCTGAGCTAAACAACTATAGCATGAGCCAGAAGGACATTCCTTACACTCACATTTTCCCATGTTACTTTTCCTTAGAAAGATAGAATAAAATACAAAGACAGGATTTTCCCCCCACCTTGTTTCCCAGCATTCCAGTGAGATGGAACACTCCCATTTTTCCCCTCCCCCCCATTCTGAACTGAAGGGGGTGAAGTTTAACAGCAGGATACTCCAACAGTGCCCCCAGCACAGCAAGTGGGGGAAGAGTCTAAAGCCAGAGAGTCCACTGGGAATTCTGCAGTCACAGAACCTCCCCCTCAAAGTTAATGGGGCTACGCTAGGTTTTTGTGTTGCTTCTGATAAAATCAGCCATTGCTGAGAGGGGCCCATCCTTGAAGCTTTTTGGTGATTAATACATGTTTTCCCTCATCAAAAAACCTGGAAAAGACAACGGTGTTCAGAATGAACCTGTGTGGAGTGAATATACGGGAGTAACATCTGGTTGGGAGTAAGAACATAGGAGTTGTCTGGCTCCATCCAAAGGACAATCCAGGAAAGGTCTAAAGGTCTGCACTGCTGATGGAGCATTCCTGATTCCGATGATGCTGCAGATCCAACAACCTGTTGTTATACTGACAGTAACAGAAAACACTCCCTTCTGTTCCTTGCCAGTTTAGCACAAGGGATAATTCCAGCTTTGTGAACAGGGCTGGACTGAGCAATTCCCACAGCAAGAAATAACTGGAAATCTAGTTTTGCACTGCATGGAGATGCCCGAGCTGAGGGAGCATCTGCCCCACGTCACCACACATGAGACACTCAGTCTTACTTCCCATCCCTTTTCACAGATTATTCATTAAGATAAAACCCAGAGCCAGTGCTTCAGATGTATGGTGACAGCCCAGCTCCGAGCCTGACCTCACACTGACAGATCGCTGCCCTCAAGAGCTCCCTTCAAGTTTCAGCACACATTTCTGGGTAATCATGGAGCTGGGCTTTGGTTTAATCAGGATGGACGCCAGGAGATTGAGAGAACACTTGGTTTTCCTGAAAAATAGAAAGGAAATCATGCGCTGCCTTTGAATTCCACCTTTCTGACCAGGCTATAAGTAACCGAATCTTTAGTGGAGCAAGCTTGAATCTATGCATGAACCCAGCTCGGAAAAGAACGTCACATTTCACATTGCACAATAATCATCCAATTCCTGCGGGAAAGAAAAAACAGAGTATGAACAATTCAGTAACAGCCTAATTCTATTTTGAAGCACACCACCTTCCACCATGGATCACTTCAAAACATCATGTTCCTAACATGTACACAACAAAACCAGAACTGAGCATGTGGCAGAAGTCCAGAATTCCCTTGCTCTATTGCCTGAACCTTCCAGGATTAATACTAGCATGAACCTCCTGGTGTTGCTTCCTTTACTTCTGAAAAGACCAACTAGAAAACAACGCTCCTCATTCCATCCACAGGCTTCTACAAAGCTGCTGCTTCATCCAACAAACCTTTGAATTGTTTCAGTATGAAAATTCCTGGTTTTCTTTCCAAATTGCAGAAAATTTCCAACCCAAGGATGAACTTGGTCCATTTTTGCAGGTATTTCTAAAATAAAGTTAATTTACAGAAAGTCGTCTCAAAATAACACAATGGGATTCAAGTCCATTTGAGACATTTGGAAAGCAGTGTCATACTTTATTTAAAAGAAACCCATGTAAAAACAAAGCTTAAATGAAAATGGTACCTGAAAATAAATTATTTGATATAAAACAAATCAATAACTTAAAACCACACTAAATATACAAAATGTTGAACCATATACTGTACAGTATGGAAAACAATTGATAAAACCTTCTGTCCCACAAACAGATTAATCCATGAACAAAAGAGTACATAAGTTAAGGGAAATTAAGTCAATGAAACCACTAGATAGAAGTACAGGATCATTCAAAATTACTGGTCAAATAAAGGCTTTATCCCAACTTATGTTTCAAATTTCTCAAGTCCTTTTCTTCTCAATGACCAAGTGAAAAAGTTCAGCTGTACCACGGAAAAGTTGCTCAAAACTGTTGGAAAATAAGGAACAACCAGCATGAGAATGGAGACTCTAAAAGGTGAGCCCAGAAGCAAGTCCCAAGGTTTCAGGTGGCAGTTCTGCTGTCCCTCATTCTCCATCATTGCCAACAAAAAGAATTTAAGTGCTGAAAATTCCACTGAACAGAAAAATAGTTTTAGCTCAGCCTTGGTGGATGGTTTATGGGGTGTGATAGACAGGAATAACCACAGCCAGGGGCAGGAAAACAGGACAGGATTTCAAGGCAAATCCCTCCACTGGGTGCTGTGCTTGGTTTTAGAGCATCTAAAGGCTTTGGCTGGTTTTAAACCATGCAGAAGGAGAGAGCAACACTTGAGGGGTGGTTTAGTTGTACTACACAAGCCTACTAGGAAAAAGCCATCACAAAACCAGGGCCACATTGAACCCATCTAAGAGTGGACACTTGAGCTGCATTGTGGAGGAGTCACACAAGGTGCAGGACAAGCAAGAGGGACTCATGACCCTCTTAATGAACCCCAGTTTATAAATAAGTAGAAAAGTAATAAGGTAAAACATCAGAAAGCAACATGTGTCTTTGGACCTTTGTAACTCTCAGTTCTATTGTGATGGGCATCCAACAGTGAGAAGTACTGAGGAACTTGCCTACAGCACAGACTCATCTGCTTTGCAATACAGAGATTAAAGTACCCAGGGGGACAAATGTCACTCTTGGGGAAGAAAACAAAACCAAAAACCGAACCAAACTCCAAGTGCAGCCCCACTATGGGAGCTCTAAGTGAGCTCGGCTCTCTTAGGGTGAAGGTGAACTTGGTCCCTTTGCTCTACAGCTATTCTTAGGAGCTCTAAGTAGAACTGTTAATAATAAGGTGCTTCACTGGCAGAATTCCAAAGGACAAATCTCCTCATTATAGAAGTCCAAATGGTAACCATATGAGAGAGGTAGCGTTAGGTCAGGTTACTGTGTTCGACTGTTGTGACTGACCCATGAGCTCACCATCAGCAGTTCACCAAACGCTGTACGTTACAAACCCTCTAACGTGTTGCAGGCAGGTAGAGCCGATGACTATCAGGACTATTCATTTCCAAAGCTTGGCATTCCAAACCAGGGATCAGGTACACGGTTATTTTGGTTTTAACTGCTCAACATTCTTTCTAGAAAGGTACCTAGGCCAAGTTTTCTTTTAAGATTTGTAATGGTTTCATATAAAGAACATTACTACAACACCCAATGTCCCTATAAAAATAAAAATAGGTGTCCCTCTCCAGAGTGACACCCTTTGGTCATCAGGCCAAACACAAGTGACCATAAACTGACCAACTAATATTCACTGCAATGAGAAATGTAGCCTGAATGACTTGTGTCTCAATTTTCAGTGTTTTCATGCTATAATGATACAGATGGACAAAAACCTCATAACCAACCAAACAGAAGGAACAAGATGTGTGGACAGAGAGCACCACGGGGACACTGACTTCTCCTTCCACCCTAAAAGCTGCCTCCTCACGTCCTTCTCTGTCCCTGATCTAGAGCAGAAAGTGGACGGATTGGCACCAGCTTGGCACAGGAGGCAACATTAACTGTGCTGGCTCCCTCTCCTCCTGCGAGACAGGAGATGATAGCACAGCACCAAATAAACCAAACTTTATAATGATGTAACTTGAACATTAAAATAATTTCAACACTTCAGTATGACAATGCCATCTAAACAGGCACAAGAGAGCTAAACACACTCAGCTGCTTAGATCCTGCTCATGTTTAGAGTGGTTCTGATGCTGCCATCTCCTCATCTGAAGGAACTGGACTTGCCTCTGCCAGCTTAGGATACACAGCAACACCAGAGCTTCCTTTTCCATATTCACCGTGAAGTTTCCCTAGCTGCGGATGGTTATCAGGAGGTTTAAACTGTGAGTAGGCTTGTGGCTTTTTGCACCAGGGTGAATTCCATTCGCAGTGGGAATCTGGGAAGCAAATGTAAGTTACTGAGCAGGAACAAAAACTTCGTAAATCATCAGACTGGAAAAGACCAAGCCTGAATAAAGCCTTCAAGCAATTCTGAGTTTGACAAAACTCAAGCTATTTTAGATACGAAGAAAATCTGATTCATTTTTTAATTTGGCTTTATTCTGTACAACACAACTCAAGTCCAGAATGTCTCTGAGAACTTTGGACGTGGTCTTAAAGCACAGTCAGGACAGTTCTGCATTTAATCAGGCATTGTCTCATTTTACAGTGAAGCTCCACAGTCCAGCAAGGAATGAAGACTGGTCATGTACAGTTCTGGAAGCCCTGTAACAAGTGTGTGTGGCAGCCACACCATGACCCGGTAAAAGCCTTCTTGGAGTGCCAGATCCAACCAAAGAAAGAGATGAAGACCAAGTAAAGGCAGCAGTACTTCCCTTTCAAATGAAATACCAAGATAACCCAAGTGATTTTACATCCAGAAGTGACAAAGCAACAATTAAAATCACACCAGACATCCGAAAGCTGGCGAGGTTTCCTGCAAACAATAACTGGTTGAACAGTCAAGGTCTTGAAGGCTGACCAAGCCCCAGCACAGGACCCTGCCCTTGCACAGTGAAGCCTTTTTACTGGCACCAGAGGTGCCTGACTGCAGATGGGCCTCCCAGAGGAAATGGCTGCTGGCCAGCAAGTGAAAAGCAGGGACTCCCCACTGGGAATGGCTGCAGAAGCCAACGGCAGGTTCTGCTGGAGCGCCAAGTGTTGACATGCACACAAGTTCTCCTTGTGAAAGCAAGTGGACCCAAAGCAAACAGGTCCATTGGAACATCCAGCCCAAGTCTTCCTGTTTGTATTCCCACCTCGCAGAGCCTCAGCTCTGAAGGTACCTACCCTTACCACAAGACTGATGAAGAAGCCTTCTCTCCCCTTTCTTTTCAAACACAAGGCAGCTGAACTTCTTTTCTCACCACACTGCCCACGTAAAAAGGAAACGGTGTCACCCAAACTGCAGAGCCACGAAATCCAGACTGATGCCTTCAGAAAAGCTGGCACCCTCACCCTGTCCC